CTTGATTCCAATCTTTCCTCTCACAACGCACCCAAGTAGTACCAACCACTATCTGCCTATCTTTCTTAATCCTCTGGAGTTGTCCAGAGATCAAGCATACCTCCCCTATTTTTCAGCTCCTACATGACTCAATTCTCCATTGTTCCCATTACCGTTATTTAAATGATTCTTAAATCTATCTATCCTTATAGCTCCTGCTGAGTTACTGGTAGCTTTTGCCAAGATTCAAGAATGTCTAGATCGAATCAGTGCCTGGACCAACATTAACGGATTGAGGTTAAATGCTGCTAAAACTCATGACATCGTAATTGGTTCTAAGCCCCTTCTTAGATCTCATAACAACTTTCCCATACTATACCTAAATGATCATCCTATTACCTTTGATTCCTCTGTTAAAAATTTAGGTTTCTTCATTGATCAATATTTTTCCCTAAATCTTTTATTTCATATTTCTCACATGTCCTGATGGGCAATTTCTACCCTCGAACTATTCCATTGCTTTCGCCTACTTCTACCTCAACATATGAGTTCCCTATGTCGTCTTCTCCCACTTTGACAACAGTTGTTTGGTGTATGATGGCCTCTCAGTGGAGCTCCAAGATAGACTGAAAAGACTAATGAATAGCTTCATAAGATTTGTAATTAGTACCCTGAGACATTGGCGTGTCTCTCACCACTACAATGAGTTAAGTTGTCTCTTCCGTTCCTCCTAAGAATTTAATTTATTTTTTTTGAAGTGAACATTTATACTGTTTCACCGTTGTATAAAGTTTTAAGTGTTCTGCACATAATTGTGTCTTGTTTACATTTTTATTTGTTTTGAATAAAGCGTATTCACATAACGTTTTCTTTAATTTTTTTTTTTACATCATTTTTATTTGTTCACTGTTCTAAACCTCAGGCTAGAAGTAATCTTTTATTTTTGTACGATCTTTTTATTCTTAAGGGACTTTGTCTCAGAATAAGTTATTTTCCACCAAGAATTCCAATATTAGAACCATTGTTACTCAACTTTCTATAGTTTATACAATGCCTCTTGACATTAACTATAAGAAGTAAAGACAAGTCGATTATAATGTACAGAAATTTAGACAATAGGATAGTATTATTCATAAGACAAAAAAACATCAACACAACAGATTGAAATCTTGGCTTATTTTTAATTCAAAATAGTGATAATTTAAATATTTATCATATCTACAATGTATACAAGGTTAAATAAGTTTACAATTAATATGATAAAAACACTTTTAAATTGAAACATTCATCATTTTTATAAAAATTTAGTTTGTTCAAAAACTTTTTTACACTGCTGTATCTTTACTCAGTGCTAAAATGTGACTACAGTCACTATCAAATAATTAATTTTTGGTTATTATAGCTCACCCATGATTAGCTTCAATCCAAACTAATTTGCAATTAAAGGTTTGTTTATTTCCTCTTAAATTCTGTTGTTATTTACAAACATATACATAAATTACAGGATCAAAATATAATTGTATAATGTATAATCATGGATGAGCTTTTATGTGGTTAGTTGATTTAATTTTTCTATTGAATAATCATGAAATATAATTTTAAGATCATTAAGTTATCAATGATAAAACTAAGTAAAACTTAACACAGATGTTTTCCATAAATTCATTTTTTACTTACACTTTTGCATAGAGGTGAAAATACTTATAAAAATATAAAACTTAAACTTAATATAATGATAACCTAACCAGTGAAAGTTTATTAAATATTAATTTTGTTCCCCAGGGCCCTCCGCAGGAAGAAAAAATGAAACTACCTGAGATAAAAAAACCAGGTGGAGGCGGAAAAAACTCACTGATTGGTGCTTCACCCAGGAGAGCCACATCCAGGGGTGGCCAGCTAGTGACACCAAAACGAAACAAAACTATAACTGCTGAACCATTGCCCAACAAACTGAGGCAAGCATTCAACCCAAACAATGTGGCGACAAATAGTGATGTTCCGAACAATGTCTTCTGGTTTCCACTGTGAATTTAATGTATAAACCCAACTTCCTCAATGTGATATTATATATTTTTATATTTATTTTCTTAAACAAAAATAAAAAAATATTCTTTAAGAAAATGTTTGTTGATATTTAAAGTTAATAGCGAACTGTGAAATAATAAATAAAATAAATACTAAATCATTATGTATAAATCCTAAAATTTACTCCTACAACTGAAATAAAAATGTAGAGTAATATCATGTAAGTGTGCATTAAATTTCTAGTTTGATTTTAAATATCAGTAATATATTTATTTTTAAAGCTAATTTTTTCTATTTTGATGAAATTTATAATTCAATTTAGTAACATCTTTGTAGTAGCCAGTTGTTCCTTCTTGAAGGGGTAAGTTAGTATGAAATATCTGAAAGACTCAATATTCAAACAGTAGCAGTTGTGGGACAATTCCAAACTAGTTTATTTCTAGTAGGAAAATTTTACTGATGTAAAAATCAATAGTTTAGAACTTATTAGAACAATATTCTGTGAGGTATAAAAGTGAGATATGAAACATAATTGAAGAAATAACTTCTATTTCAATGCGGTAGAATGCCGTTGCCCTGATAAAACATGATAGCAGAGATAAGTGCGCACAGTACCTAATATTTCCTTCAAGAGAGATCTATATTTATCCTTGCCACCATGATTTGCTGAGGCGACATCATGATTAGCTCTTAAAACCTATATCTTAAGCTGAAATTAATTCATAAGTATTTTGAAGAACAGCTGAAGATTCTACTCCTATCACAAAATCATTTGAGGATTTGATTTTAATGAGAAACGGCAGAGGTGTTGTACACACATATGGCACATTATCTGACATAAAAATAAATCCCTGTCATAGAAAGACCATCTCGGTTTATTTCATGAGTTAGTCTCATGATAAGTAGATTTTTGAATAGGGCTCTACAGTCATTTAAAAAAAAAAAAAATAGAAATAAGTAAATCACAAAATACAACACAGAAAATTATTTTAGAAATAAGATATGATGACTCAATACATTCCTGATTATCTACACAATAACTGTGTTGAGACTATTTCTCTCTAAAAGAATTTGAAATCTATTTACTTTTGTTGTTATTTTTTTTACTGCAATAAAGAACCTATAAGTTGTACTGTTAACAATTTGTAAAAAAACCAGTGTAGTTTTCATGCTAATAAAATTTCCTGCCATCAGTTAATTTTGTTAATGTTACACAAAAAAAAAAGAATTATGAATGGTTTCTAATCCTGATGAGCTATTAATAATTTTGGCTTTAGAATAACTAATATGGCAAGTAGACCTGTAGATCCTAAATTTATAAGTGAAAAAAAGGCTAATAGAAAGAAGTTAGTAAATTTATTAATTATTTATTTTTAAAAATATAAAATGTAAGTAACACATTATTTACAAAACAATTATTTGCAAAAGTAAATAAACCATATTAATACTATATTACAATGATGCATATACATTATACAGAGTTAAATAAAACAAAACAGTTGAACCATTATAGTACGGACACATCAAAATATCAAATTTAGTATGGTAAAACACTTAAGGGCTAAAATTGGCTGAATTTCTTTTAGATATTTCTATTTCTTCTTTAAATTTTGCAATAGTTTCTTTGGCCAATTTTAATTTTTCCTTCAACTCATTAATTCTTTCACGGACTACAGTTTTTCCATTCATAATACTTTCTAAAGTCTTAATCCTTTTTTCTTCAACTGAAATTAAAACAGACAGATTTTTAAATATCGCATGAACTAATTTTTAAAAAGTAGTAGTATTCAGTGGTTAATAAAGTACTGTAACTTGGGGTTACTTGGACACTGACTGAAAAAAGAAATGAGAACATGGGAAAGTGCATCAGAACTAGCCCTCGAGCCAGGGCTCAAAAATCGACCTGATCACAGGCGAAGGTTTGATTGTAAATAACGAAAGTGTATGTTATTTTGAGTAAAAAAAACCTTGTCTGCCATTCCAGAGCCACTGCTTTAAAAAATGGTGGCTGATTTAAATAATATTATGCCAATAATTTGAGGATCCAAACGGGAAATCCATTGCGAAAAATGTTAGAAAAGTTTTTATTTTTTTAATTTGTGTATATGGATTTAGATATTTAAAAAACAAAATTGCTGCAGTGGGCCACCAAGGGAAAACTTTTTACAGCCAAAAAGGTCAGATTTTTTTTGTTTTTTTCACCTATAACTTCTAAAGAATGCATCAAAGCAAATAATCTATTTTTTAATCAATTAAAGATCGTTAAATTTTGTGTCAAACGAGTACATAAACTTTATAATTTTGTTACGCGGTAAGGTATAACACCACCATCAACCAATGCTGATTTTTACCAAATTTGTCAAAAACTGAGACAAATGATTATAAATAGCCCTGTAACTTGGAAATGAGTTCACTTAGAGGAAAAACCCATAAAATCAAAGTTGTAGAGCATCAAATTTTGCGTCAACTGAGTACCAATTAATGTAGGTCACTTACTGTAACAAATCCGGTAATCTCCAATGGTTAGAAATTGGTAATGAAGGTAAACGTGATTTTCAATATTTCAACAATATTCCACTGTTATTTTTGTTTAGAGTCTGTTACATGCAGTACAAGCCTCTTTTCCACCTCAACAGTGAAGGATTTTGGTAAACAATGTGTCGAACGATACTGAATTTTATAAAGGAATAACGAATCCGATTCGAGATATATAATTAGCCTACAATAAAAATGTCAGTACTCAGTTGACGCAAAATTTCAGTACTAAGTTGACCGTGGTTTAATACCTTACCGCTTAAGAAAATTATAAAGTTTATGTACTCGTTTGACACAAAATTTATGGTTCTTTAATTTATTAAAGAATACATTATTCGCTTTGATGCATCGTTTAGAAGTTATGGGTGAAAAAAATCTGACCTTTTTGGCTGTAAAAAGTTTTCCCTTGGTGGCCCGCGATAGCAATTTTGTTTTTTAAATATCTAAATCCATATATACAAGTTAAAAAAATAAAAACTTTTCTGGCATTTTTCGCAATGGATATCCCGTTTCGATCCTCAAATTATTGGCCTAATATTCTTTAAATCAGCCACCATTTTTTAAAGTAGTGACTCTGGAACGGCAGACAAGGTTCTTTTTACTCAGAATAACACACACTTTCGTAATTTACAATCAAACCTTTGCCTGTGATCAGGTCGATTTTTGGGCCCTGGCTCCAGGGCTAAATCAAGCACTAGTATCACCATTTGCTATCTTTATAAAAAGAAACAGTGTGATTTAAAACTTTTTTAAAGAATCTAATAATCCCCTTACAGTGCCCAAGTAGCCAAAACTTAATAAAAATAAAGACATAATAGAGAGTATTTAGGTAATTTTGTGCATTTGTTCAGAATATCAATACTCAGAAAAGACAAAGGAGGTAGATTGAACACATATCAATAAGAAAAATATTACTTTTCTAAATTTATTTTCAAGATGTGCCAAGTTATTTATTTTGGTATACCAGATCAGGCATAAACTAGTATCAGATAGTGTTAGCTTTTTATTAATTGTGAGCTTTTGATTTACATTGTAAGTTTCCATCAAGGAGAGAGGGTACACATACTTGTCTCCTTGATTCAGTCCTGGAAAAGATCAACAAAGTAAGTCGAAACGTCCGTATTTAATAAATAGTCACCACTATTGAATGTTATTTCTTTATTGACCCCCATACCTTCTCCGTATAGTTTAACATCATTTGAACCGGCCCGGAAGTGAATAATTCACTATAGAATTTACTGATGGATATATAGTTGCCTGTTGAAATTATAAGGATGACAAATAATCAGGATGGGCTGTCAGAAATCAAATTTATCAAGTTTACCAACGATTACTGACTGCACATCTTGATTATTTTTCATCCTTAAAGAATTTACCAGTAGTTTCATTACTAACTGAGTTTAATAAGGCAAGGTCAAATCTAAAAATTTCTAACCAGAGCCATAATACAGTTCATGTTGGAGCAATGTATTTACTATTTACGACTGGTTGGAGCAGCTATAGGTGTATAATAAGTTTTGTGGAACAACTCCACCAATTCTAAACATCTCAACTCAATGAACTATTAGGTGCACCTGAAAAATAACACCTTTTCCTCTAAAAATATAAAAAATTATAGGAAACAATTCTGGCAACCTTATTTTTATTTATTAAATTAAAATTCAAGGTTAATTAATGATTTTTAATTGTGATCAAAATAAGTATTCTTCATATTAACATCTAGAATTTAACATAATAACAAACATCTTACAGTCAGTTTCATGCTTCCAAACTCCAGATGTTATGGGATGTGTTGTGGTCAAAAGATGATGCATAAAGGCTGTTGGATCTTGAAAAACTATTTCTTCATAAAACTCAGAAACAAGTGCGTTTTTACTCAATACATCCTCAGGTCCCGATTGAAAAAGTTTTAAAATGTGGTATAATGTAACCTAAAAAGTACAAGCAATTCAAAAAAAATTAATAAAACTATAAAATTATAATTGTGTAAACTAGTATGAACACTTACTGGTCTCTCATTAGAATCATGAAAATAAATTTTTATAACTATTTCAAATTCTCCCCATCCAGTTTCTGTTACTTCATACGGAGGCTTCAGGACAACTCTATTCTGATTAGCATAGCTTTCATGAAGTTTGAAAGTAACTTTTTTAATGTATACTGACATATCTTCATTATTATATGGTTTGACATACACAGTCCATTGATGTGTATGCCCATCTTCTTCCCTTTTTTTTCCAAAATACCGAGCAACATTGCCAAATACTACTGGTTTTACTACACATACTCCCTAAAAGAATGTGTACATTACATCATGTGAAACATTAACGAAATAAAGGTATCTCAATCGGTGTATTTAGATATTTTAAAAAAACAAAATTACTTTCATCCTTCCACCAGAAGATTCTGGTCCTAATTCTGTCGGATTTGAATTAGTACCTTGAGGGTACAGCTTCATTTCGGATCCAATTTATTAATTTACCTCAAGAGTGTAAAAAATATATAGTATTTAAAATGTTTCTAAACGGTGAAATATTTACAAACATCAGAACCTTCCTATAACACTTGACATAGAAGTACAAACCATAGAAACACAGATTAGTCAAACAGAAACTTATGATAACTTAGGTAAGAATAAAATATTTATATATAAACCTAATTTGTTGCAATCATCCTTCAGGAAAAACGTAATTGTTGTTATCATTTCTAATAGAATATATATAAATATAATAATAGAATATAGGTAAATGATCAGACCTCACTCATATGACAGCGGGAAAATCAGAAAGATTTAAGTGGAACCAGTCCATTAAGTTAGTTATTTTGAAGTTATTGTAATACGAATTTCTAAGAGTGTAAAGCTATAATTTGTGTAGAACTCATCAACGTGATCCTGAAGATTTAGATTGTAATTTATTGTATGGCGTTGTAATTATAACAAGCACTTGCGATGGATGATATCTGCAATCAAGTGATATGGACCAAAGATGAATAAAATATGAAAGCTGTTCGAAAAACCTTTTACATGATTATTGTGAATGTAAATGAGAAATTACTGAGTTCGAGACTGGATATTCGATTCTTTCTTCTCGACTCAAACTATTATAGAACTCAGTAAATAGTTTTTAATCAAGGTTGAATCACAAGGTAATCATGATTCTTTTTTAATATAGGCTCCTTTTAATGAAAAATTGTTATTATATCATAGTGACCATTTTGTAGTCATGATTTAATAATGGAAGCTATATTTGAGGGGAAAATGTAATAAAAGTAAATAATATGCTCATGATATTCCATTGTGAATTTGATCTCATTTTCCAAGTATCAATGTTTTGTTTTTTTCGGAAATACGGCTGTTAGTATTAGTCAGTAATTAATGTACTTTCTTGCAGAGGCTATGTATTGGAAGGGAGTAGGTGCAGACCATGAGAGACACTATTACTTTAGACTCGCTGGGAATCCTCCATCACCACATAAATTGATCAATGCCTTCACTTATTTGATTCTATAAACCGTTCATGGCATGTCTGTTATATATTCCAGTGGTCCGACCTAACTCTCTCTTATATTTTTGTGATCGGGCCCTTTCCAACTGATGTGGAAAGAAAACTATACGGAAGGCTGGAGGACATGAGCACGTTCACCGAGTTCTTCATTTTAGTTATAACCATATAAGGTAGAACACAGAAAAAGAAGAAGTAATGCATTCTTGTGTATCATTATGCACTGTGATGGAAAGATATGTTGATTCCCAGATGTTGGAGGTTCAGCTGATAGATATTAATCAACAATACGTCAGGGTCCAAACGGATGATGGCAGTACCCACAAACCACTAAGCACAAAGTGGTGACTCTCCCGATCATTTGGCATTAAGCGGCTCCTACATCCACTTAACACCGCCAGATTACTTTTCCAATCACTGGGCACCGAGCTGGCATTCTTCTTCGGATCCGTCCATACAGATTGAACTCTGAGAAATTCATCATCCGAGTAAACTGCAGTTACGATTAGAATTTAGCAGTAGAATTAGAAATTAAACAACCCATAGGTCGTTCAACAAAGAAGCGTCGCATGTTCGAATAGTCAAAAGACTAATTTCTGGCTTTGTGTCAAGATTTTCCAACTTGGCTATAACCTACTTACTTATATAAGTTGTTTATTCTTATATATCATCACATACTTGGCAGAATTTTTATTACAGTAGCGATATCAAAAACATACGGCTACATCTTAATCGAGCTTGTCGCTCAATGTTTACGTCTTAAGTGAATGATACAGCTTTACCTAATCCATTCTTCACAATACTGAAAGTGAAGAAAAATTTATATTTAAAATAATTAAACTATGAGAATCTGATTATCACATGGACTGCTAGAAAAGTATTTTTATACATGATATTAACCAATTTAAAATAATGTTACAACGATGATATTGAAAACATTGGTTTAAAAATAATTAAATTTATCAATAACAAGATATTTACTTTGTTCATGAAATTCGAATGTCTGGGATAGAGCAATATTGACAATAGATTTGTTCTTTTTTGAATTTAATACTATTTCAATAATCCCAAATTACTTACCAGCTGGTTAATAAATTCTTCATATATATATTTTTCAAAATTAGGTGTTTGTTTTTTCATCGGCACATATGAAATCAAATCAAACAATTACTTAAGACATTTTTCAACTTTCATATCTTTACCAGCGCCTCATTATTCAGTGCGACATGATAGTATCGATGTGTATAACGAAGAAAGTAAATTCGATTTCGCTTATCACTTTTATTTCAAGTTTATGTCTGTATGTGTTGACATTGTAAATCGACATTGTTTTACTTGACATTCATTTGTGTTCCTTCGCTGTAAGTAAAGTTGTCATTGATATGTATTTAGTGTTTCGTATTAGCAAAATCAAAATGTTTAATGTCTTGATTTCGCAGTTAATTTGATTTTGAACAAATTTTCTTTATTTTTCAGAAACAAAATGGTGTGTGTTCCATGTTTTATGATACCCTTCCTTCTTTTCCTATGGAGATTTATTCAACCTTATGTTCTAATGCTGTGGAATCCACCAAAGAAAGATGAACAAGGAAAAGAAGCAGGTAAAGATGAAAATTATTGTCCTTCTGCACTTATGTGTCCTTGTGTGAACAAGAACAAAACTGGAACAACTGAGTGTAAGCCTGTGGAACTAAAACAAGACTAATCAGTTCATAAATTTTCCTTCAAAGACTTATTTTTATACATATCATTAATTTCCATCAAGGCTCACACTGATCTTAGGAAATGTATATTAATATGATAAATTCCACAGCTTTTCAATGACCTTCCTTTATTTAATTAAGTTCTTATGAACCTAAGAATCAAGTGTTAAGTTCTTGTAATCTGAATAAAGTATGTTTGTTCCATCATAAGTGATTGAATTTTATGTTACATTAAAAATAATGTATATTTAACTTAAGGAGAAATGTTTTTATTATTATATCAAGTAATTATGTAACATTACACAATATAATAAATATATTCTGTAATAGCTGAATGTATTTTTTCACACTAAGAAAATAATTAGCAATTCTTAATAATGTATTGATATTTTGATAACCAACCTAGTTTGTTTTGAATTGATTGTACTTTTCATCACATTGTTTTAGCATCACTTGTTTCAACTGCGTACCGTATGAGATTATGTTAAATTAAATGGTCTAGATGAAGAAAGTTTTTTGAATTGTAAAGAATAGTCATTGGAAGTTCATTTTCTCTTAGATAGTTGCTCAATAGTATTCCTTAGGTCTTATTATTGAGACCATGTTAAAATACATTAATAAGATATTAAGTTAATCTCAAATTTACTGTTGTAATTTATAATGATGTACATTTTCATCAAAATGTAACGGGAATAAGTTAACTTAAACTTTTCAGATCAATCTCAATCGAAATTGATTTTTTTTTCCTATAAAATTATTAAAAATTAATGTATCGCTAGCATCTTATGTTTACTTTCTATGATATTGTAACTTTCACTATTAGTCCATTTAGCTTAAATGGTCAGTATTAACTAAGTCATGATTTTTCTATTAGGGATGCATTTAGTTAAGATTAATAAATATAATTATTGTTGATGAATATTTTAATTTGTAATGATCTTATCCGCATTGTTTTGTTATGTAGTGTGAAGTAATTTTAGATGAATAATTCTATTTCATGATATGATTATTGTAGAATGGCCTAGTGTATGTTATCAGTTATTGATTAATAAATTTTATTTGTTATAATATTAAGCAGTGTTATTTAGGTTTTTTTTATTTTAACACCTTTTCATCATCTTCAAGAGGCCATTCTTCATATTCAGCCACCACTATGTTAAGATGCCACTTTCGCATTCTATAATAAAAATATCTTTGGTTAAATAACTATATTAATGCAAAACTCGAGGTATTACAAGAAGAAAGCCTTTCAGATTCCAGAAGTAAAATATTATTATAGTAAAAGAATAACAAGATAAAAGATGGATGTTAACTGGAGAATTCCGTGACTCGCTAAGTTAATTTAATTGAAATAAATAACATATATGTGATTAAAACACGTCTGAAGCTAGATAAGAATAGAGGAGATAAATTGCTTATGATATCAGCACTAATCATAGTTGAGATTATAATGTTAGGTCTGGTCTTGTACTTTTATGTTTTAATGGAGCTCAATGGTGATATGTAGGAAAAGATTGATCATTCATGTTATTTTACTAACAAACATGGTGTGGTATATTCTTCGTATGTTTTCTTTTAGAACTCCATTATTACACAAGACAGGATGAAACAAGGCTTTCTCAAGCTTGAGAAAGCCTTGTTTCATCCTGTCTTGTGTAATAATGGAGTTCTAAAAGAAAACATACGAAGAATATACCACACCATGTTTGTTACCTTGAGCCCCACAAAGCCATTAAAGGCCTATAGTGAGCATATTATCCCTTCCAAAACCATCTTATTGCACGCAAATATGACCTGATAATTGGTGAAAAAGGCACTAGCTGTTCATCTGTGATCTATGGCACCACATCTCCACACCGACGATACTATTGCTTGACAGATTCCCTTATCTATATCTTGGAAAAGGTCGGCATCATACCACAGTCCTGTTTTAGTACCGGAGAAAGGCTCTCAGCCGATTTCCAAGATTCATCCAGTAAATATCATCTTGGTAGAGGTGTCTCATTGCATCTATAGTATAGGGCTTCGTCAATGTCAGGCTCTCTCAGTGCTGTCCACACGTTAGTTCTTGGGACACTGTCATAAGCCTGCTTAAACTCCACAAAAGTTATATGGATTTCTCGATGAGTTGCCAGAAGATAAAGATGTTATTACAGAAACACTTCCTCTGTAAACATTACCTGTTCCTCAAGGGTAAAGAACGATTCTTCCAATTTATCTTAGTGCAGCCTATAACTGTGCTTACTGAACTCAGTATACATACATCCCTATAGTATCAGCATTCATTCCTGTCGCCTTTTTTGAATGAATATAGGCGATATACAAACCTCACTGGAGATCCCCAAGAACCCTGTTCCCTTCCACTGCCAGGTTAATTATTTCAAGAATAGTCATCATCTTATTACCTCCAACCACCGAGATCACGCCTGGTCCAAAAGCTCTTCCATTTTTTTATTTTTCAGAGCTTGAGACAATTCCTCAATGGTGAGCGTTACTGTAACATCCAGCTTTCTGGTCCTTCTCTTCAATATACTGGGGTCGGCTCGCGCTAAAATCTTTCAAGTGCTCCTTCCGAGCTCAGTCATTAATCAGAGGCTTTTAACTAAAAAATGTAATTTTAGTTCACTTTAAATCCTCCTATAAATATGGAGAGAGGGAGCAAGTTTCAGGAATAGAGCTGTGATGAGGAGGTATTTGATTCTTTGGGAAAACTCCCTCTTAGTCAGGGTGCAAAGTTAGTTGCTGGTAGCGCACCTGTTTCTCATGAAAAAACAGAGATGGCATGCTATAAAATTTTGTTTTCTGGGAAAAAATTCCAAAGAAAACCATTGTGATGCCTTAAGAAAAATACTTACTTCAAAATGTTTATCAATTTCAAGAACCAACACCCTTGTTCAAGTAGCCCAGGGGTGGTCTCCAAACTATGACTCAGGCTGGATCCGCATCCCATTATTTCCATTTAAATTATAAAATTTGATAAATCACTCAAACACAAGGTTACTAAATTTATTGCACGAGTTATTTCTCTGAGAATTCTCATATCACAACTGAAGTATCATTTATAGAACAAACTTTTTTTTTCTCATTACAATCCATGGCTCACTGGACTTATCAGAGATCTTAATGTATCTTTAAGTTTGGAGACCTCAGGTGTTGACAATCCCCAAACCATTGTCATTAACCATTAATTCACTGAGATGAAAGGGTGGGTCTTTGTTTTGGGACAAAGGATTTTTTTTTTCATCACCACCTTCCCTCCATGCTCTAGATCTGGTGGCCCTTTATAACTTTTTTATTCACCAGAGACAGAAAAATGTTTTGAAATTGTGAGGTAAAACAAAAAAAGTGAATTTAAGGTTTGAACAATGACAGCAACTATTGAACAAGTCCATTACAGTCAATGAGAATTACTTCGATAGTGATAAGAATTTGGTATAAATTATTGATAAAAAATGTATGAAAAAAATCAGTTTTTTTTTTTTTTTTATTGAGTCCCTGCTCACATTGACTGAAGCAGGTAGGAATTGAATTCACACTCCTACCAATTCAGCCATTACAAAATTAATACAATGTTTTTATATTAGTTGATTTGTTTTTAAAATTAATCTTGTAAAATTAAAAGATTAATGTTAAATTGGACTAAGAAGATAAAAATAAATAAAGACATCTAAAATTTATTGACAAAAAGACATCTAAAATTTATTGACAAAAGATTAAAAAATAAACAGACACCTTTTTATTCATAATTTCTATAAAGTTATCTTACTGAGGACAAACCAGGTTTTTTTGATGACTGATGAATAGCTAAGAGAAAAAGATTATTGCTAATAGGAATTATTAGGGATTTTGTCTAATGAGGATGTAAATATAAAACTAATTACAAGAAAACATATACAGATAATGAAAATAAAAACTCATTTAAAAAACGTAACTTTTATTGTTATAAAAGAATATGTTGACTGTTAAACAGATACAAATTTACAACTTATACATAGATATCATATCATACGACAGATTTATAAAAAGATTGAATTTTTATTTAAAAAATAATAATATTGTTAAGATCAAATCATATTTTCAGTTATCTATCATATTTTGTCTGCACCTTTAAAGAAACACCTTTTTTAAGATGCCTTACACTGAAGTCTTCTCAGAAGTAACCCTTAATTAAAAATTTAATTTACAGCCTTTAATTCCACTTCAAACATCAATGTGCTATTTCCTGGTATTGTTGGAGGAGACCCTTTCTGACCATAGCTGGAAATAAATGTTTAAAAATGTTAGAAGTATATATATCAACATCAAAACGGTAGATATCATTAAGCCAGTAAGTAATAGTCTGCATATCTTCCATCTATTAAGCTCACATTTTTTACTATGGTAGCAACAAATTGATCAAAGAAAGTAATTTGAGCTCTCAATTTTTTTTCCTCACCCCATTATTTAAAAAAAATGGTTTATACTTACGCCATGTTAGGTGGGCAGGTAATCAGTCGTTTTCCACCAACTTTCATTCCAGATAGTCCAACATCCCATCCCTTTATTACTTCACCTCTTCCAACCCTGAATTTGAAACCTGCTCCTTGTGTTGTCTCATCGAATACTTTGTTATTAGATTTCAGTCGACCTACATAATAAACTGATGCCTGCAAACATCAAGTTTATTAACTATAATATAATGAATGTAGGTAATCAAAATTTATCAGACTAATATGAAATAGATACATTAATAAATCATTTAAAAACTAGAATGAAACTAGCTTGTTTAAAAAAAGAAATACATTACAATAAAATTGTAATGTAACATACTAAACTATCTGGTTGACAATATTTAACAATTCAGTTGAATACACTTTGTATATAAAAATTAAACATATATAACTGTTTGATCAAGAAATTAATTAATTCAACACATCAGAATAAATTACGACTGGTTATATCAACCACACAAAAAGAAAATAATTGCCTTTGATGCACTCAAAACAGAATTTATCATAAAAATATACTATCTAACATTAAAGAATATTTGTGGCTTGTGTTCCAAGTTTACACACAATTTATGTTTATAGTTATACAAACATTAATTAATGAAATCAAAATATTTTTGTTATTCTTCTGAGACTGGTGTCCCTTTAGAATAAAGTCAGTGTCGGCATACATTAATTAAATATTTTAAAATAATAACTAATTAAAAATAACAATACATAGAGAGAGAAAAATGCATACATATATGTAAAACAAATATAGGAAACTAAAATAACATAAGTAAACAGAAACAGCCTCTGGCAGTACTTAAGAGAGTTTTCTCAGGTACATTTCTTGATCAGTCGGAGTGGGAAAGGAGCAGCTTAAGGGGAGAGATTTGAAAGAGGAAACTGATTGTACATATCCAATATCAAGAGGGAGACAGCTTAAATAACAAAGGTTTTGTCAAACAGCAGTTTTGTGGGGGGGGGAGGATAGATTATAATTGTGGGTTGATGGTTGACTGTCGTGAATAATGAAGAGAAGGATGGTTGGGGTGATCAGTCAGAAATAAATATTATTATTTATTTTGCTCTTTTATTTCTGACTGATCTCACCCCAACTATCCTTCTCTTCATTATTATAGGTTATTTTATTTTGTAACATCTATATGAGAGCTGATAGGAAGCTTGCTTATCAATATATTTAATACTGAAAACAAAATAACATACCATCCTTCCAGGTTTGCAAATGGGACCGTTTCCTACTTTGAGGTCCTTAACAATAACTCCTCCTTCTAAAGTCTTTTTTACAGGAACTGTAGCTTCTGGGGTTTTTTGTTCATTACCTGGCTTCTTTTTTTGTTGAACTGGACTCTGTTGGGGTCCCTGATATTACAAAAACAAAAAAAAGCAATAAATTAAACTTCACATATCCAAAAACTTGATATGAGTTTTCAATTCATACAATATTCTAGTAGGAGAGTAACTATAGCAGAAATAGATTTCAGGAAAATAAAAAGAAAAAATGTTTTTCAAGAATGAATTGATAATTATATAAGCCTGGTTCACACAGAGATTTTTAGATCATAAAAAACCGCTGGAGTTTCCTAAATATTTCCTGTTTGTCATATGTTTATTCATAAGCTAACACAAAAACCAGCTTCGAATAATAAGAGATATTTTAGTATCATCAATACCATATTAAGTATTAGATGTCTGACTGATTTTTAAGCAAAATAAAAACAAAAAGAAAGCTATGGATTACTATATTAGTGAAAGTAATGTGCTCAGAGGTTTATTTAACATTTTAAATCGCAAATTAGGAATACCGATGCATGCATAAATTTTATTGAAAACCTTTAATTTTGTATATTATTATATATAGGTATATTATTTGTATATTAATTTTGTAGAAAACTAAGTTTGTAAAACGAAAAATTGTAGAAAATCATAAATTCAAAATGGTATTGTAAATATCAATAAAAACATTGAAAATCCTACCTGAGTAAAGTATTTCTGTCAAGCCATGCAAGAAAAATATTTGGTTAATGAATTATATTAACTGTAGAAAAACATGAAAAGTTTTCTTAATTCTAAATTTAAAATAAAAAACTTATTACGTTTGCCTGTTGTTTTTGTTTCCCTTGTTGACCGGGGCTCTGCTGGGTTTGTTGCTGTTGTTGTTGCTGCTGTTTCTTTTGTTTCTTGTTCAATTTCTGTTGTTGCTGTGGTTGCTGTTGCACCTGTGGTTGTGGTTTTGGAATTTCGGTTTCAGATACCTCTTCATTTTCTTCACTCTCCTCATCACCTAAATTATAATAAATATTTATTGGACCACCGAAATAAAAATTCTAGAAGTAGAATATATTTCAAAGCATTTTCATTATTAAATCAGTACTTTTACTTCGTTTAGTCATATTCCTAAAAATATATCTTAAGAATTAGAATATTATATCATCATAATATTAAAAAAAGGTTTATGGAAATCAACTATAACTACAGTCTTATCTGGTTATCATATGCAGTTAATAAGTCATCCACAACTGTCCTTGAGTAGAGATTAATAATTTTAAAAAGTACTCTTATGTTTTTACTTAAACCATCAAGTCAAACAATTAGAAGGATCACTCCATCAATAGGAAAGAAACAAAGAACATCAACACAGATAAAACGTTCAAGTAGAATGAAAGTCGTCATTAATGATTCAGTCTACATGTATGAGATACTGATAACTTAAAAGCAAAGGCAGCAAGAGCAGTCAAATAGAATACAAAAACAGGTTCCTGTACATTTGGATGAAGGTAAAACCTTGAACATATGGTACACCAGCCAGTTAAGGTCACCAGTTAATATACTTTTTTTTTTTTGTGTCCTCCCCTTCCTCACCGTTAAGGCTACACGGGGGACGCCTTGGCACCAGGAAGCAAACTCATGACTACTTTTGTATCATTTATCATATATCAGGCTGCTATGCTGTGCACAACGCATTAAGCCCATTCTGCCACCCCGCCCACACCAACTAATATACTATTTTTACTATATTAAGCGAATGCTTCACTTTTATTTGTGATGTGGCACCTTGGAAAGTATTTCTCCGAGGTGTTATTAGTGAATCCCACTCCTTTTCCTACGGTAATATCTTATAAAAATTGGTGTTATAAAAATATTCTCTCTAAATAGTGCTGTGAAACACCTCTTTTCTGCAATACGAGTGTCATTACAAGTAAGCATTGTTAAGGATATTTCTTTATCAATATTCAGCTTTTTATTTGAATTTCTGTTTCAACACAGAACCCCATTGTTTTGAATTTTATAGTTTTAATTAACATAAATTTTCAACAAAACACAATTCAGTTGATAAATATCCAATATTTTAGTTTTAGGACATGCACACACAAAAAAAAAAAAATAATAATAATATCCTTTGATAAGATAATTTACTAATCTTACAAAATATGGAATTGGGCATTTATAAAAAAAATTATAGTAAATCATGGATTTCTGAACCTGACATTATTGACAAAGATAATAATTTAAATCATAAACATCTAGCTATTGAAGGTTTTAATAAATGAAGTGTGATATATATTAGAATTTGAGAGGCAAGGATAGTCAAGCGGTCTAAGGCGCTTATAGGTAATCAAAGTTAAGCAATGTCAAGTGATGAGTGAACACCCAGTTTGGATATCATCCACACGGAAAATCACGTTCAACCGAAAGGAAAAAAAAATATTATAAATAACAAAAATTATCTGTATTTATTTGAACATAATAAACTAATGATTTTCGGGAATTAATAACTAGAGCTTACTCTCCACTTCCTCGTCAAGAGATTCATCTTCCATTTCTTCCTCTTCTTCATCATCGTCTTCATCATCTTCATCCTCATCAGAGCCATCAGACTCTAAAAAAATTGACACTGCATTAATCAAATATATTTACACATTAAAATTATCTAAATTTTGGTAACGAGTTGTAGATGGAATTATAATAAAGTTTTGTACAATTCAGATCAAAACATCTTGGAAATCAGAAATATTAAAAATTTTGTTTAGGAAACAGGAAATTTCAGAATTATATAGTATTTAAAATGACAAAAAGAAATTCAATGAAAAATTGGACTCCTCATGACGCCATCCTCATCATGGAATGTATAAAAGGAAGCAAACCACTAATAAATAGAACAGACTTTAGAGTCAGTTCAAATAATGAATTTAAGACAAGTGTTTCTGATCATTCATCGTTAAGTTGAATTTGCGTACTAGAGAACAATATATTTAACTTATGATTTTTGATTCTTCAGTGATCAATAAAATGCTAATGCCATAAAAATAATAAATAAATTAACTATGCCAAAAAAAAATAAAGTAATAAATAAATAAACTATGCCATGAAAATAATACACTGAGAACCTTTCATATATAGTAATTCGTTTTACTCAATATTGAAATCATAGAAATTTGTTTAATTAACTAAATTAATGATTGAAAGTATTAAAAAAGCTATTACCTGGTTGCTCTGGAAGATCTACTTTAGGCTTTTTCTTCTGATTAGCATTAGCGGACTGTTCTGGTTTTCTTTTGATAGGTAGGCCATTTTGTTTTACTTTACTTTTTAGACTCTCCATTGCTGAAAACAGGAAAATATACAGGGTAATTAAACCTAATTGAATGGCAATTTTATATATTTATATATATATATATATTATTTGTAATATATAGGAATTGTCAGAAAAAAATTTATAAGATTTGCTCTACTTTAATAATTATTTAATGTTTATTTAATCATAAAATAAAACAACTGAGTGATGATTTTCCTCCACAAAAACTCTTGTATTTTCGAAGTATGCTCATATCATATCATCGGTAACATTTAAAAAGTTTATAACTTAAAATTTGTTTATTCTATGGCTGAATAATAGAAATAGAAATTGCTTGAACCTTTTATTGTTCAAATTAAGCTTAAAGCCCAGATTTAATTTTTTTTTTTTTTTAATTCTCTATATCATATCTCCAAAATTACAGCTTGTAAGAAAAAAAATAATGGAAGTTTTGTGAAGAGTACACCTATTTAATTTTCTAAAGGGATAACTAGAGCTAATGAGAAGGGCTAAAAAATATAGCCAGTAAGAAAAATTACTCACTTTTATAATTATGTACTTGTTGTGTTTTTGGCTAAATTCAATATATACAAAGATATTTATGAAAAAGAAAATGTAAAATTTAATATTTCGGGTCAGTTGTACAATTAGAGTTCAAGCTTGAACTTGACTTGAACTCCCATTGCACAACTGGTCCTATTTCAATTCCAATTGAACGACTGATTCTACAAGTTTAAAAAACGATATGTATAAGAGAAAATTAACCTTGTTCTTCTTCAACATCTTCTTCCTCCTCTTCTTCTTCATCTTCCTCTTCTTCTACTTCTTCACCCTCTTCCCCGAAAACACCAAAATCGTCATCATCTTCTGTAATGAGGTAACCTAAACAACCAGGAACAATTTTTTAAAAATTCTATTAATCAAAAATTTATATTTCATAAATGAAAAAAATACAGTTAATTTAATTACAAACAAACCTGTGAGATGAACTGTGCCATTTCCCCGACAGAAAAAAGTGACTCTATCTCCAGAAACAAAATTGAGGTTCAAAGGAGACTGAATCACCTTGGGTTTCTGAAGGTTACAAAGGATGAATGGAATATTTGATTCTCCTTCTTCCAACATAACACTATGGACTTCTTTTTCTGAAATAAAAGGAAATACTTTTAGAAAATGTTGCAATCAGAAACAGACTCGTGTAAATATACAGTTATACAGTTAAGTAGTATTGTCCTCTCAAGAACAAATTTTAATCAACTAAGTACCTTAAAAGAAATGGGAATTTAATGAAGAAATGATAAACCCTTAAAATGATCCTAAAATCCATAATTTAATTTCATTGAAATAAGAAGAAAGTTTAAAAGAAATTAGAAAACCAAGAATCCTACTCATCTGTGGGAACCAAATAGAAATGAGAATGAAAAATAGAAAAGAGATTACAATACTGGGTAAGTATATGTTAATGTCCAATGGGGTAATCTGAATACTTATTAAGTGATATTGAATACACGATAGTTAACTATAGTATCTTGAGGAAAAAGACTGTCAATAGTGGAGGTAATAAAATTAAAAAAATTTAATAAAGTGGAAACAATTTTATTAGTGTAACATTTCGACTATGGTAACGTTTCTTTACTAAGAGATATTTCGACATAGTCATTATAAAACGACGAAATGCCTTAGAAAAAACTTATGAGTTCTCCAACATAATGAGAATTTTTATATAACTTCTTTATTTGACAATATCAATGATTTTTATTCAAAAATACAATATCTTCAAAGTAATTCCCATTGACTGTTATGTACTTGCCTTATTGTTTCTGCTATTATTCAAACTCTTTTTAATTATCTTACTGAGATGACCTCAATCTCTACCAGTAATTATTGTATTATCTCCTCCAGTTACAAAACATTTTCCTATTATGTCCCTTTAATCCAGGGAACAGGAGGTCCATGGGGGTGATGTGTCAAACATAGCCAACATTGGCTACTTAGCCTCTCCTTCCCAACTCTGCTCTCACCTACCAGTTAGTGGACCCTCTTAAGCCGAGCAACCCAGTCTTAGGTGGTGGTAGCCAATTCCTACGTAGAGAAGGAGACCTGGCAAGGCTGCCTGGAAGTAATCTGGGAATAGGTTTATCAGAGGATGTGTGATCAAAGTTCTACAGGTTCTTTTTCAAAAGATACGGGATAGCAAGAAGATCTCCCGAGAATGGGAATTTAATTAATAATCCCGATCCACAAAAAAGGGGGCAAGTGACTGTTTAAACTATAGGCCAATATTACAGCTAGTAGAGAATGATCTGGAGGAAAAATAGGCGGCATTCCGTCAAGGTAGACAGATGCAGGATAAAATATTTCAGTGTTCAGAAACATAATGGAGAAGTGTTGGGACAAGGACAGAAATATATAACTGGCTTTTCTGAACCTCAGAGCAGACTTTGACTCTGACCCACGAGTATTTATATGGGAAGCCTTAAGAGCGAAAGGTATACCTGTTCCCCAAATTCAAGCAGTAAGATCAACGCACCAAGAACCAAAAGGAATCATGAGAATAAATGGTTTGAGTTCGAAACCCTACCCAATGGAAAAGGGACTAAAGCAAAAGGAGACAGTCCTCTTAGTCCTGTACTATTCATTATATTTATGTATGAAATTCACAAGATATGCAGGAGAAGGACGGAAAGAACTGTAACTTGAGAACAATATCAGTGCAGGCAAATATATTCGGAGACGATATTGTTCTTGTCTGTGATAATAAAGGAAAACTGCAGCGGGTTCTGGTAGTATGGCAAGAGGAACTGTCGAGGAAGGGAATAGTCATAAACTTTAATAAAAGTAAAATCCTGGTGATCTCCAGAAAAGAGGAGGAAGTAGATCTCTACTTTAATGGCGAGGAGCTTAAGGCTGTAGATGAGTTCAATTACCCGGGAACGGCGGTTAGCAATACTGCCACCATAGACAAAGAAGTGTCCAGCAGAATTGGAAAAGCAAATAAAATCTACTATCAGATCTGCAACACAATAGCAGGCAAGAGAGAAGTCCCCAACCAGATCAGGTTCTACATATTTGAAGCTGTGGTTCTACCAATTCTACTGTAAGGCTCAGAGAGTTGGGCGACACTCGACCGACATATTAGCTGTTTGACTGCCATAGAAATGAGGTATTTACATAGAGTGGCAGGTAAATCAAGAAGGGATCACAACAAAAATAAGACCATACAGTCACTGAAAACCACCTTCCAGAGACAATTTTAGGTGGTTTGGACATGTATGCAGGATGCATAAGAACCGAGAAGCAAGAAGGGTCATATAGGGAAGCCTGATCAACAGGCAAAAGACCCAGAGGCAGGCCAAGGATACAGTACAATGAATATATCACCAGGCTGGGCACCGAAAAAGGAAAAACTCTCGGTGAAATGAAAACACTGGCACAGGATCGGGAGGGCTGGCTCCGTTGGATAGAGGCTCCTCTATGCTGAAAGGCATCAAAGAGGAAGGAAGAGAAGAATCCAGGGAACAGGAGGTAGTTACAGAGGACCAGATCTGGTGAATGAGAAAAGGGAAAGAGTGGTGAACAATCGATGTCGTGGCAATTTTGGTCAAAAACTGCTTCACAGAGAGCATAGTGTGGACAGGAGGTACGTTGTCTTGGTGAAAGAACCAATCCCCTGTGTACCAAAGAACCGTCCTTTTCTTGCGGATTTCTCCCTTTATCTCTTCAAAAACACCAGGTAGAATTTTCAATGAGGGGCACCCAAAACGAGATGGATCTTCAATCGATATCTCACCATTCTTAAAACATTAAAACTACTCGTAAACACTAGTTTTGCTTACGGCATCATTCCTGTAAGCTGTTACAAGCATCATAAGAATTTCCACAGAAGTTTTCCCAACAGAAAACAAAACTTCATAGCTACTTGTTACTTATGGCAACCAGCCACCCAACATTTTATCCAAAATGGAAAATTTTTATTACTAGAAAAATGTTTACAATCAAAGTAATACACTCACAGAAAATAAACTTGGCACACTAACTAAGGAGGATTTTCCCCATAAAACCACCTACCAAAGAAATGGATCCTTCTCCCTTCCTGAAATGTTTAAGGTTCTACTTCATACTTAGTTAACTTGGTAATTATTTACGAACGGTCCTCCTCTCGCCATCTTGGCTGAAGTGATGTTATGTCCCGTGTTCTGATAACGTTTACCAAATCTAGCACCAGAAAGCGCCACTATTGCGGAGGGGTTGTCTTGTCCCCTCCACCTTACGTTCATTACAAATAATTACCAATTGTAACCTTTACAATATATAGTGCCCACCATTTTTTTTAACTTGTCGATTTCTTTGTATCTTCAATATATCGATTAACCAAACTTTATATTTCAGATGTTATTATTTACACATATTACCTACATCAATTTTTTTTACCATTATATATTACTAATATTATTTATAATTGTAGTGTTTATATATTGCCCGTTTTTGTTTTTTTAGCTTCGAGATTCAGCATTATTAATGCTTTTCGCATCCCTTAGCATAAATGCAAGAAGTTTATTACCTTAAGTGTTGTTATATTTGGGACACTTTATCTCTTATTGTACATTATCTAAGTATGTCCAATATTAATACAATTCAGGAAGAATTAAACAATTTTCTATAAGGGTTTTGATGCTGGATAAGGGTTATACTTATCAATTATATGTTACTTAAATCTTCTAGCAAGAAGAATTAAACAATTTTCTATAATGCTTTTGATGCTGGATAAGGGTTATATTTTTCAATTATATGTTACTTAAATCTTCTAGCAATAAAACACATTTTCAGTCTACTCAGGTACATACTGGCAATACCAGATGACCAGTTATCCCTAGCCATTTCCATTGCTGTCTACTTACATTATCTGTATCTACTTTTATATTGTATTGTCTCATTAATTTTTCTGAATCCTGTCAGAATGATTTATTAGGCAAGAAAGTGTAAGTTATCTTCATCATGTGTATTCCGCCAGACGTAACTCATTACCTTCTTCTTCATAAAATGTAAAATGTCCCTTAGTTATATAAATGAAGTATAGACCTATGAAAGATTTAGGTTTTACTTCATCTCATGTTTTGGCTTCCAGCCTCAAACTTTCCAGACATTGTTTAATGAGTTTATTAATTTCTTCCTAAGGTTTCCCTATATGTATTTCAAGACTGTAAATAATTTAACTATCGAGAATGACTTATTGTCCAAATAAGGATAAATTACCACCAGTAATGATCAAATTGACCAAGGAAAAGTAACCTAGAATACCTTATTCTTTAGTATAAGCATAAAAATATTATGTGGATAAGATGGAAATGGGTGTTCAATCGATGCTTATTTAATGGTGGGTAAGGAATGGTTAATTTAAAAAAAGGCGGGTAATATATAACCTAAACGATCTTATTTCTATATTTACTGAAAACAGAGGTAAGGTGGAGGGGACAAGACAACCCCTCCGCAATAGTGGCGCTTTCTGGTGCTAGATTTGGTAAACGTTATCAGAACACGGGACATAACATCACTTCAGCCAAGATGGCGAGAGGAGGACCGTTCGTAAATAATTACCGTAAACTTAAGCTTTGAAGGATTAGGTAGCAATGAATACAATCATCGCCAAAGACCGGCAATTGGCAGTAGTTACCTCTAGAAGAGCATATGTCCAAAATTAAATGATAAAATAAGCCCATGACACTTGAATAGATTTAAGTACTTACCACTCTTGACTGTTGTGCAGTCCAGTGCAGCCATGGAAACATGGAAAGATTTGTCTACAGTTGTACTGTACCTCTTACCAGGTTCCAAACGTAAGCCTAAAAAAAATAATAAAGATATTGTTAAGTGTGTATTGATGGCTGATTGTAGTGAATAATTGAAGAGAAGAATGGTTGGGATGATCAGTACAAAAAAAATAAATAGTAAAAATAAATAATTATATATATTTTTTAAAATAAATATAATTATTTATTTTTAAAGATATTGTTAATGCAAGAAATTGAAACTTAGTATTGTTACCATTTTTATTGTATTCAGTAATATTGAATGTGTTAGAGTAACACTTCTTTATTAGTACCAAATTAATAATATAAGGTTTACCTCTGTACCTTTGGTATAATAGAGATGTGGAATAAAAGATAACTGGTCTTATCAGGGTGTATTGTAGAATTAAAAGTCTTACATAATTAAACAAAAAGATTTATCTTATTGGCTAAACTTTATATGGGTCAAAGTTATGAACAACCATAAAAGCATGTACAAGTACATAATTGGTTTTAAACGATTTTTGAAGGTAAAGTTTAACCATATGGTAAACCATGGAACCACATGTGGCAAAGGATTCCAAATAAAGAAATACAATAGGAGTAAAACTCAATATTCTGGGTTTCAAAATCAAAGGAACATAAATATGATACAGGCATGTTATGAAAATGGATAAAATGCATTGACTTCTTCAAATGATAACCATCTAGAGAAGAGATAAAGATATGGAAAACCTCAGACACTGTGACTTGAGGACGGGAGGAAAGAAATAACAGTGAGAGGTTTGAAATAAAATGAAAGCTCATATCATTGTAAAGAGCGACCTATAGAAGTATGAAGGATAACAATGCGACAGAAGTTGCAGAAATCAAAAAAATAAAAACTTCTGACAAGTAAGGTCAGTATTGCTTTCTCACTGTATAGTACATAGGCTAAACAATATTCATATTTCAAGGTTTACAGTTTTCAGATTCCCCAACATTTGTGAGTTCCACATTTCTAATTTGCTTATTTAATGATTCATGGCTAAAAAAAAATCTCAGTATATACTGAACATGCATCGCTATTGTTAGCATAAAAATTTTTATTTAAAAATTTAGTGTTTTACTGTAGAGCATAAAAACTTATTATCCTTTCATGATTTATTAGTATAATTTCATATTTTATTGCCTTCTGCTATTTTCCAGAGTAGCAAACTACAAAATGTCACCTTTTAAAACTTATAGAATAAAAATTGAAAATTCTTACAAAAGGCGTTTTGCACTAACAGTAGCGATATATACTTAAGATGAATGTTGTCACTCGTAATATGGATAGAAACGAAAAATTCAAGTTTTTGTTTGTTCAGAGTTAACGAGACCAATAATTTTCTTCAGTTGGAACAAAATTAATTATTCTGGTATATAAAAATATGCGTGAAGTTCACACAACTTTGATATTTAATAAGAAAATCGAGAACACAAGCTGGTCAAACCTCAATTGAAATAAACAACCTAAAATATACATTTTTTCGGTCGTCATCTAAATAATTATTGGAAGTTATAAATAAAAGAAGTTAATACAAGTAACCAGGTAAATACTCAAAATTCAGTTAATAGAGTAATGAGGGTTTTGTCCCCACCCATTAAGTGGAGCTGCTAATGTACAGTAGTACAATAATAACCCCTTAGCCAATTTTATGATTCTATCTACAGTGTGATTAAACAGATCCTGGCCTAGATGCAATGTTTGGTATTTCATTTAATGGCTTTAGAACCTACAGGGAGAATGTCTTTAAACAGTCTAAAAAGGGCAGAGAAGACTGGTAAGAAGTTGTAGAGTTCCACACACTAATACATAAATTTAATATTTATGCATTAGTGTATGTAATGCACAGCAAATTATAAAGGTCAATCCTAAAATGCTTAATTAGAAATCATAGCAATTTCAACTCAACTAGGGTGCATTCTCAACATTACAAGGCTTGAAACATTGATATTGCAAAAAAATTTGAAATAAACCATCCTGAACATAAAAATAAACATTAAAACAATATTACTTGGATAAAATAAAATAATAGCAAATCATAAAGCCTATAGTCAATCAATCCTAATTCTTATCACCAGCACTGTCCAATCAATATGTTTCAATACCATGTGAAATCAACAGGTAATTAATCAAAAGATAAATAGTCAAAACTTTGATATATAATTGATAAATTGGGTTGAACAGATAAAATACAAGCAACTATATAAAGCCAAGACATGAATCAAAGTACAATCACCATTTGCCTTGGCCAAGTCCATGCAACCATTTAAAATTTCTAAAATAGATTGAATACATATTTATTATTATGTCGGCTGGTAAAACCATACTAGCCCATCAATAAACAAGCAAATCTAAAACGGTAACAAGGATTGTTTAACCTTTAACACCACCACATGGTCAATCCAAAAACAACAGAGTAACAAATGTTGCACAGGATAACTTACCCCAAAACATACTAGTCATTTTGCAGATTTGCAGCTAAAAACCCTATAATAATAATAATGCAACTAAAACTTAAAATAAACTTGAAGTTAATCTAACAAAGACGGGTGTATATAATGAGTTTACATTAGCTGAAAGGCTCTCTCTGAATCTTACAAACGAGGCGTTAGAGCGGCAAGAAACAGATGATTCAAAATGCCGGACAAGGGATAACCAATCCCAGGGAGACAATCCCGATTGATTTTTTAAATTGTTGCTAGTGTTAAACCTCGTTCTTATTAAAAAATATATTTTATTGTTGCTTTGTATTTGTTATAAATAATTTTTACTTAAAAATGCCATTAATGGTCGATATTCATTCCATAGAACTAATAATTATGAACTCAACATAATGGTATCGGTAGCCCCCATTCCTTGATCGGGCTCTGACACTTGCCTAACGTGCCCCCAGCTTAGGGTCGAATCTACGATGGTGCACTTGCTCCGGACGTTAAATTTTGAAAGAAATTGTATTTGTAGAAGAACCAAAAAATATTAATTTCTGTTTTTTTATTTAAATATATTACCCAAAATATATTACCCATAAAATATATTACTTGATGATATTAAGTTTATAACAACCTATAAAGCTTTGATTATAAAATTCTACCATTTCTACCAGGTCCAGATACCGTAGGTCCGGCAACCTTCCACCTCTCTTCCCTATGGGAACCTTGGTTGAAATAATACGACAAAAGTCATTGATCGTCCCTTTGCACACAAAATTAGGCAAAAACTAATGGTAATGAAGTATTAAATGATAATAGATTGCAGAAGTTCAATAAAATTTAGGTCAGGCAAAAAAAACTGCAAACTTTTCGCAGCATGCCTCGATTCTCACAAAGTCTTTCTGCAAATCTCGATGTGGTAAGAAAACAGCATGAACTGGATTTGTTTAAGAAACTGGACTTGGAAGGAATCAACTCATATCATCTCTTTACCAGTCCATCTCTCTAATATCATTCAAAACACCAGCTACAGAAAAGATAATACTTTTGATTTCATGCGCACGAGGTTGCGGAAAAATACGCAAATGTAAGTAGATTCACTTCAGTACAGTTTACAATACTGCTCTAAAACTACTATTTATTTGATGGAAGATTATATATTTTATTTAAACATATTGATTTACGAATAACATTTAATCTGTTGAAGCAGTAGAAATATAATAATAATAATAATAATTAAAGGCTTAGCGAACCCGAAGGTTCGATGCCGACACCACCAATCGCTTATTACTCACCTCTCTCCACTCCCAATCCCTTCAGATCGTTTTTAATGCAATCTTCCCACCTTCGCTTCGGTCTACCCCTCGGACGTTTACCATTCGGTACAGCAAATATTAACTTTTTAGAAATTCTCTCGTTTCTAAATCCAGCAATTTTACAAGCCAATTTGATTCGCCTCGATGAAATCACCTCAATTATATTACCCAGACACAGTTCACGCAATTCGGCGTTGTCTAACCGTCTGAACTCTCCGGTTAACTCCTCCTTCCATCTGTCCGAATATTCTATGCAATAGTTTCTTTTCAAAAATCTCAACACGTTGCTCATCACTTAATGCAAGAGGCCACGCTTCGCAAGTTATATTAATGTAAGAGGCCACGCTTCGCAAGTTATATATATATATATATATATATATATATATATATATATATATATATATTATATGTTATCTATATAATTATATTATATATTTACATATTTATTTTTCATCCATGATTTAATAAATTTATGACGAAAATAATTTCTATTTGTAAAAAAGATGTTAACAAAATCCTGTTATTAAAAAAAGTATCATCTATAGTGATAATGAACCCTGTTTTCTCACATATTTGTGTTATCGAAATTGATCCTTATCGTATTAGAGAGCCTAACTTAATATCTCTATTCCCAATATTCCCAATTTTGATGAACATAAATAAAAGTTGAATCAATATTTTTTGGAAATATTATTGGTACTGAAGGGAAAGGAGGGGACTAGTCGGGCTAGTGGGCCATATAGTACTTTTTGTCAAACCCTGATGGCTTGAGGTTTCTGCCGCGTACATACCACACTACATGTGCATAAAACTGCTTCCATCTTCCAGAAGTTTTTCTGGTGCTGAACCTGTTACGCTTCGAACTCTAAAGCTGAGATTGTTTGGGCCCTATCTTCCAAGTAAATATGAACTAGTTCACCACAAACAAAAATATGACCTCATCGTATGTTAATTTGTTCAAACCAAGGAACAAGGGCTAAAGATGAAACATACCGCAGTAAGTGTAATTGTATGATCTACGATTTTTTAAATTATATTTTCACTAGTACTGTATTTAAGAAGAGAGGGCAATAAAATATCTTGAGGGGAAGGAGGTTTATGCGCCCTACAAGTGCGTATCCATATATATATATATAATACACCAATAGATATTCTAGTATCGCTAAAAACTCAGCTACATATGCCTTCATTGCATTCCTATATAATTATGAAGAATGTAATATCGTTATTGGATTTATTAAAAAGAAGTTACTGCCTAAAAATCAATTGATTTCAACTCTTGATCCTTGATTGATCCTATTACTGAAACAACAAATTCTTGAGTGGTTTAGCGGTAGCGTTCGTGTCATATGTCTTTAGAATTAAAGCAGTGAATTTGCATCAGAATCAATGTATTCATTTTCTAACTACTGTTATTTTCAAATGGATTTTATCTGCCATTAATAACCTTGAACAGAATTATTACACGTGTGGTTCCTCTAAGTGATAGGGAAAAACTTTAAAATGTATCAAATACCGCGAAAGATCAAATAAAGAGTTTTAAAAAAAACGATTAAGATGTAATTTAACTACTTATAACATAATTCAGAGTTATTCATAGTATATTTTTATCATTCAAATCTAATTTGATTCAAATTATCGGCACTTCACGCACACCATTTCGTACTGAGCCATTAATGCTAAACTAAGCCGACTAATGAATGCCATATTAAAGAACAAAATGAATTCCAGGAATGATTATTTTTCACAAATGATTATTAGGTGTAAATTGACGATGGTCTTCAAATGGATGTTGTCTCCACTTAAACGTAAATTTGAATTAATGGGGTTACATGTCAAATATAAACGAACCTTCAACAATTACTTAAAAGTGAGAATGTGACATTATTTTTAAATACCATTGCTTCTATCTTGTCTGTTCATTCAAGTAAACAATAAGAATAGATAATTTTAGTCTATGGCATTCTGAATCAATGTTATTAATGTACTCCACAATCGGTGGCTCCATCTGTCGGAAGCTTTTGACAACAATTAGTTCAATAACTTGGATTTTAGAACTCAGAGATGGAGCTGCTTTTATAGACAGAAACAAACAGGTACGTTCATTTGAAATTACTATGAAGTGTGTACTATCATTACATTTTTGGTTTAAGGATTTTAAGGTCTCATAACTTGTTAACTGCCCCATTACTCTGCCATTTACGTCATTCGCAACTTGAACTGGAAGCAAGCTGTTAAAATTTGTCATAAACTTGGTTACTAGTTTTATTTTATATTCAAGTCAAGCTTTAATTTATGACTGTGCTCTTTGTTTATCCTTTACCAAATAATAAAAGTAATAAATTGTTCTTCTATTCAATTCTAACCTTTTGTTTTGTTGACCAAAAGAGAATACTTATATGTACTTAATTGTGTTGGTGTTGAATTGTATTTTATGAATTACTTATTATGAAAATAAAAAAAAAATATTTTAACTTTAAACTACAGCTATCCATTGTTACTTAAAACTCCATATCAACTAAGTGTCGAATAAACAAATCAACTGCAAGACATCATTTAGAAAAAGTACTTAAAACCTATACCTAGTGGTGTAATTATATTAACGTGATTGAATATTTTCTTTGTTTCAATGAAATAACACATCATATTAAAACTTGTGCAATATGCCATCATGTCACGATTTTATGATTATGAAGTGTAGACGATTTGCAGTTAATATTTTTAGCTCTGAAAGAATTGTGCGGTTCGTGTATCTCTTCATGTTACTGTTTTCAAGACTTAAGAATAGTATATTCTCAATTCATTTTGGAACTTTTTCTTAAAAGGCTTGTCTAGTTGGATTATAGTAAATTAAATATTTGTTGCTCTGTTAAAGAAATTAAATTAATTATATATGAATTAGTTTAATTTATTAGTTATCTGGTTTTATACTTATGTTTGTTTAGAAACTTTGAACAGTCAAGTCATCAATCTGTACCATTGTGTTGTGTATTGAAGTTATGTAGTTTAAATTATTGATTCGGTAAACATTTTTATTACAATAGTTAATTTGTGTCATAATCCTCTTTGTTTAACTCTGTATTATTTTGTTTTGCCCATTATTCATTAGCAGAAATTTTATTCATTTAAGGCAAATGTTTATTCTTCAGTTAATTCATAGTTCTCCTTGAGACACACTGGTTTTACAATTATGAGACTTTATGAATTTAAAATAAAAAAAAAGGAAAATTTTTCCTATTCGAAATAAGTAGTCTCTCTTTATTAGAATACATGTTAAGTAATAAATAATTTTTGAACTTTATAATTATTTGATTTTATTTGAATGATGCAGTTGTGAATTATAAACTGGTAGAAACATAATGAGCTATACTTAGTGGAAAAGAAATATAATAATACAAAGAACGGAGACCTTTGAACGGAGACGCAGCAAACTGCGGTCTCAGAGGCCACCTTTGACCCTCGTTAATTTATGTTATCCATGTTACCCACCTCATGGGGCACATTGAGACCTCCATATAAGTCCTGCGGGCCATGATTAGTGGTGAAAAAAATTTTTTTTGTTCTATAAATGACAGTTCAGTTGTGAAATGAACTTTCTAAGAGAGAAAAAAAAACATGTAATAAATGTTGTAGTAAGCTCTTATGTGAGGACTTTGCTAAATTTAGAATTTTTAAGTCGTTTTTAAAATTTTACCATGATAAAAATGTTCCCCTATGATATAGTATAAGGACAATAATGCCACAAAATCATAAGTAATGACAGCCGACAATAAATAAATCAGAATATGAAGACTTATTGAAAAGCTAAGTGTAATAAATAAAATTATTTTATCACTAGTTATAGATAAAGAAGTAACGTCTATTAATGTTTAGTCATATAGATAAGTAAAAAAACTATGTATAAAGTAAAAAGAAAGATGTGTGAATGATAGCTTAATATTTGATCAGATGATCGACTTTCCGTTTTTGTAATGGTGGTTAGCATTTAAACTAGATTAAAATCTAAATAAGGATAGAATCACAAATGGAAGAGGAGTTAAGGAATATATTGAGGCGTAGATGCTAAAGAATAGGAAAATTAAAAATTGTAATAAGAGATAACATATCTGTTCAAAGATGTCAAAGGATGGTAGACTAGTGACAAAATTGTAGGTGAGGGGTGTTGAAAAGAGATTAAGATTTACCATTAGATCTGTTTGTTGTACTGATAATTATTGGTAAAATACTAATTAGTGATAAGTAAGTTATGGTACTCTACTGATTTAAAGAAATGGTTGACCTTAGTTATTTAAATATTGGTTAAAAGTGAAATTATAATGAATTATGAAGAGAAGAATAGTTGGGAATATTATCATTTATTTTTGCCTTCTTATTTGACTCATCACCCCAACTTCTCTTCATTATTCACGACAGTCAACCATTTACCCACAATTATAATGAATTATGATCTACGAAATGATATAATGAATATCACAAAAAATAAACATAAGTAGAAGGGTGTCAACTGTTATTAATGTGGGATTTTGGTTTATATAGATTAAAATTGGTAATGGATGGAGAAATGAATAAAGTATTAATTATATGCATAAGATATAAACAAAATAAGAACATAAATAATAAAAGCTAGTGATCAGAGGAGAGGAGGACACTACACTCCAAGAGGATTAGGGAGGTGTGGAGAAAGAGAAAATAAAAAATAAGAACATCATAAATTTAATAAAATAAATAATCAAGAATAAAATATAATAACAATTTAAAAGATGAAAACGGGTTTTAGGAATAAGGTGACAAACATTAATAAGTTATTGTTTTGATGGATGAAAAATTTGTGAGTAGCCTTGGGAAAAGTTTTGTAATTTTTTTTGTTTTTTTAGGGTTAGGGGTTAAAGTGAACATAGATATTCTTTTGTGAGTATTAATTTGTCTTTTCATGATTTGAGATTATGGCAAGATTGGAATGTTTTAATCTAATGTATGGTTTTGGACAGGGGTCGGATCCGGTCCGCGAATGTTTCTTTAATTACATGTTAAAATTTTAAAACTTGAGAAAATATTAACTTAGCAAATTACTCACACTAGATGTTACTACAACATTTATTGCATGTTTTTTTTTTTGGAGGTCATCCACTTTATACTTTTCATTGTAACTAACAAGAAGCTATTGCAGTCAGAAATCTGATTATATGAAATGAAAATGAAAATGAAATGAAAAAAATGTTTTATTATTCTGGGACTGTTGTCCCTTAAGAACAAAATATGAATACAGATTATATGTCTGTGTGGCTACAATTAAATTGTATATTTACAATAAAAGTTGACTTACGATAAAAATACAAAAAGGGAAAGAAAAGAACAAGTAAATTGTACATATGTGTGAGAAACTAAAATAACCTTAATAAATTGAGGTAGTCTCTGGTGGTGCTCAGATATTTCTCTTAGATATATTTCACAATCATTCGGATTGAGAAAGGAGTAGGTGCTTAAAGAGGAGAGGTTTAAACGAGGAAACTGATTGAGCGTGTCGAATATCAGCTGGGATGGAATTCCAGAGGGAGGCGGCTTGTATTACAAAGGATTTGTCAAACGCAGCAGTTCGGTGAGGAGGAGGATAGAGGTCGGAAGTACGAGATCTGGTGGGACGGGATTGGATGGAATATTTGAATTGTAAGCTGTGAAAAATATAGGAGGGTCGATGGGTTCTAATGATTTGGTACAGAAAGGTGGCTAGGAAGTACTGACGGCGATAGGATGGGTAGAGCCACCTCAACTCAGTGTAATACTGGGTAATATGCGTATCCCTTGAGATTCCGAAAACAAATCGTAGTGCGCAATTCATTAGGCGTTTAAGTTTGACCTCGGAATCTCCGGGAGTCCACCGTACACCATACAGCCATAGTCGAAGTGGGGGAAAACAAGGGAGGAAACTAGGAGTTGACGGGACTTATATGGAAGGAGATATCGTAGACGATTGAACTGTTTTAGGGTGGAGATAGTGCGACGGGAAATTTGGGAGATGTGAGGTTTCCAGGATAGGGATTGATCGAAAGTAACACCTAGGTTTTTAACGGTGGTGTAGAATAAGATAGGTGAGTTGTTCAGGAAGATATTGGGAGATACCTGGGAGGATTTGAGGAGTGAAGGGGATCCGATCAAGATGGCTTTTGTCTTCTCGGCGTTCAGAGTGAGCCTATTGAGGTTTGCCCAAGCACTTATTCTGTCAATATCTTCCTGAAGTTTTTGAGTGGCATCTGAGATATCTGTCGGATTAAAGGAGAGGTAAATTTGAATGTCGTCGGCATACAAGTGGTAATGACAGTGCAGGATAGAGGATGGGAGGTCATTTATATAGATGGAGAAAAGTGTGGGGGATAAGGAAGAGCCTTGTGGGACGCCTCTGGTCAGAGGTAGAGATTCTGATGGTGGGCTATTAGGAATTGCAACGTACTGGGAGCGACCGGTTAGGAAGGATTGGAACCAATTAAGGGAACTAGAAGAAAAAGAGATATTTTTAAGTTTTGTTAGGAGGATGTTGTGGTCTACTGAATCAAAAGCTTTGGAGAAGTCTAGGAGAATAAGGATGGTTAGTTTCTGCTGATCTATGGCTGTGTGAAGGTCTTGGGAAATTTTGATTAGGGCAGACTGAGTAGAATAACCAGGCCTGAAACCGTACTGGTAGGGATTTAGGAGATTATTGTCCTCTAAAAAATGGGATAGCTGGGATTGGACTAACCGCTCTAATGGTTTTGAGAGGTTTGAAAGGAGGGAAATCGGTCGGAAATCATTAGGAACTGATGGGTTTGAAGTCTTCTTCAATGGGCGTACTAGGGCGGTTTTCCAGGTTGTAGGGAAGGTAGCATTTTGAAGAGAATAATTGTATATATGATAAAGGATCGGAAGAATGGATGGCAATGCGGCTTTAATCAGTCTGACTGGGATGTTGTCGGGACCGTAATCATTGGTATGGGACTTCTGAATAGATTTAAGGAGCTCTTCTGGTGTAATATGGGAAAGAAAGAAGTGATCAGGATTAAAGGAAGTGTGCCTATAAGATGAAGTTAGTCAATCCAAGCAAGAGGCTATTAATATCCATTATTAAAAGATTATTTCTGTTTGAGAAATCTATAAATATGTTTATCTATACTTACTAAAAAAAAATGTTATTTTACAATTTTAATTTTACCCTATTACAAACAATATATATATTTTGTGAGCATTTGACTTTGTTTTTATTGAAGAAGATTTTTTCCTGTTTTGTATTTTATACTCAATCTATTTTCATTTTATTGTTCTTCTGGACCATTCAACATTTGCCATTGTGAGCCTTATGATTTTGTGAGTTATTATCCGTGCTTAGAATTTTCATTTAATTTATGAAAACATTAGCAATAAGTTTGTTAATACAAAAAAAAATTAACATAGTGAATATGTTAATTACTATGTTATTAACACTATTTACAACTGTAAATTTAAGTATTTAAAACTGTAAATTTGTATCTAAAGAAATTTGTATTTAATGCAATTCTTAATTAGTCTTAAAAATTTTAAATGATGATATACATATATCCTGCAAACACGTCAGAAACCTAAAGTTAAAACTTGAAGGTATAACTTTCAGAGAGAAATACTATTTATCAATCCACTTTGAAATTAACACAAATACATAATTTTGTTTTCAATCAATCATCTTTTCATATCAAATATAGTCCAGATTTATTATATATAATCCATATGTATTTGGTGTATATGTTCAAATCGTACTAATTAATCTGCTTTTCTAGTTCATCATTCAACTCACATTTTCTTTCTTCAGTGAACCTCAATCTAAGACTTATGTTGACTTTATAAAGAGATAATCCATCGTAAAAATTACATGAACTCTTTCATAACAATAAATTTAGATTTAAGATTATAAACAATAGTATAGGAATGAACAAAGATCTTATTAAAAAAAATATGTAGTATATTAAAACACTTGAATAAGTGTTGACCTAATTCTTCGAACAATTGTTTCACGAGCTCCTAACCAGAGGCCTATGGTGGTGAATTCTCTCTCTCTCCAAACGTTTTGCAGAATTTCTCTTTAAGGAAAGTGATGCATTTTTCCAATATATTCTTTTTCTCTTCACTCGACTGATCAAGGTCAGTGCTCTTGAAATCATTGGATCCTATACCTTTAGGTTTTGGGTAATGAGATGATATCAATATTTGCAGATCCTTCAACCTCAATACAATAAACATCACCCAAGCAAGAGAATTTCTTTTGTCTTAGGAACCTCATCAACTCATATGTGACCCTATGTTGTCTGTATAACTCTTTAGATGTGCCCAGAAGGGAGTTGCATGGCACAAGTTGTGCCATCAAAATGTTTGAGGGGTTTTGCATTGGACACTTCTGTAACTCTTCTATTCAATTCCACATTTTTCCTCGGTTTAGGAATCACTTACTAGTCAAGGTTTATTTCAAATTGGTGAGAGGTTACATTCAACTAATCGTATTAAAAATTTATTGCAATAATAAAAGGTAAGCATTATTAAAATTTAATTCATAATAATGCATCAGATCTTATACACTTCATGAAAGAAACTCCTTCAGAACCTAAAAATATGCCCAACGTTTATACCCAAAATAATAATGAAATTTCAATTGTGATTTGTAATATTAAGATTATTAAAAAAAAAATATATTTAATTTTAATATTTTTCTCCTACCATTTAATACAAATATTGGTACAGCTACAGATGAGCTATAGATGGAATTAACAGATTTACAAAACAATTTTTTATTTCTATCATTTTTGTATACTAGGTTAATTTTGTTAATTAAAAATATAATTGACTTCATTATTCATTGTTTATTATCATAAGCTTCTAACATGTGGCCTGAACAACATTTATGAAGTAGTAGCTACCTATTTGTAAAAAAAGAAAAAAGGGTCACTCATCACTGCCCAGAAGAGGGTTTCATGGCACCATGTGCAATCAAAATTTCGAAGGAGTTATGATTTTTCGGAGTAAAAGAAAGGGGAAAACATGGAATATACCACAGCATGTGTAATTGTATATAATCTACGATTTTTCTAATTCTACCTTAGCTGCTCTGTGTTTAAGAAAAGATGAAATAAAATATCTTGGGAGAAGGTTCTAGCGCCATCGACCTTGGGGAAGAAAGGTACTCCTGTCACTGCCTAATTGTATCTATAGGTTTTGCCAGGTAGAGGCTAGCTGCTTTTTTAAAGTCCAACAGTTAAAATCTGTGATATATAATTTTGTATTCTGATTTTCTTAAGATGGTCACGTTTTTTATTGACTAAGAAAGAACTGTTCAAGATAATTAAATTCTAAGTACATCATTGTAAAGAAGACAAAGTTTTTTTCAGAAAACATTGATTAAATTGAGTAAGGTCAATGATGAAAGGAACTTCTTATTATTATTGTTATTTCAAGCCTACCATTATGTCAAATTATTTCATGAACCAGGGTTACAGAGATATGCTGCACGGGTACGGATACTGTAACAGCAGCTGTATTAGCTCTTCTTAGTCGCTTTCATCATTGGTCTTGGTAAATTTAATCAGTTTTCTAAAAACAAAATGTCTGCTTTATGATGAAGTACTTTGAATTTAATTTTTGATCAATTCCTTCTTATTCTATAAAAACCTTAACCACCTAAAAAAAAAAAAACTATACAAAATTGGTCCTTTTAAAATCCTTTTCTGTTTGCAATCGACCTATGTATCAAACGAACTTTTTTGTTGGAAAATTTGTCTAGAATCGCCCTCCAGACTTTGACCATTAAGAACTGAGACATCCTGTATACATGGATATAACAATTACACCATATAATGGGCATTGAGATTTATTAATTTTAGATTAGTAAAATTTAAATAATATGTAAGAAAAACAATAGGTTGATAAAGTGATATTATAAGCATGAGATTCATGTAATATATTTAGCAAAAAACAGAGCTGTCATTGCATGCAAATCGGTGAGAAATATATGTTCAAAATCATAAGTAGTTTAATTGTTGTCTGGCTGTTTTTAGAGTACTATTGAAATATAAGCATGTTAAATGTGGACAAGGTGAGGGAATGGTGAATTTTGCGAGGGAGAGAATTTCAGAAATTAGCAGAGCGACAACTAAGGAGTTTTGGAATGAAGTAGATTTGTGGAAAGGAGTATGAAGGTCGAGATCTTGTGGCAAGGGAGTGGGTGGAAGACTTGAATTGGAGGAGATTGTAAGCTTAGGAAGAACAATGATAGTCGATAATTTATAGTCGATAGCCATAGAAGTATTGTCTTTGAATATAAGTAAAGAGCCTAACTCTCGATTGTAGTGGAACATCTTGGATTCCCATTGACAAATCTTACAAACCTGATTCTTTTCATTCTGTCACAGAGATTTTCCAGAGGCCACCTTACAAATATACACACCGCCATAGTCAGGTATGGTGAAGAAGGAGATTAAAGAGTTAATGTTTAGGTTTTGGAAAGAGATTGTAATAGATAGCCCTCTGTATTTACTCCTGTGACATTGTGTGAGAGAATGAGAAGGAATATATAGGAATGTAAGGTTGCACGATAAATTGTACTCAATTATGCAGTGGACAAATTATTCATTGAAAAGTCTCATGAAAAGAAAACAATCGGTGAAGAAGGACACTGGAAAAAGGATGGAGCATGTAGCAACAGCTGGAGAAGGATGCCGGAGAAGAGAGGAGACTTCACTCGAGGCTGGGACATGAAGACAAAAGGACGTTACCCGAGAAGAGAAGCCTACCACATTGAAGACTAGGAATATCAAGCCTACAGTTATAAGACTTTAATAGATTCATTTATTATAGTTGTCAAAATAAATTGTTTTATTATACAGGAGTAAAAAGTCATTTTATTTAGTTGTCCTATATGCCTCACAATTGAAGAATAACGAACCAGGTGAGTCAATTCATTCAAAGTGTATTTACTAAGTTGTTTAAGTTTGCCCAGATTCTGATTCAATTAGGTCTTCTTGAATCTTGATAAATACCATTGATAACTCAGAACGTATAATGGATAAATAGATTTGGGAGTTGGTGTAAAGATGATGTAAATAATGAAAGGTTGATATATGGAAGTTGTTAAGGAGCTGAAAAGAAGAGGAGATATGCTCAAACCATAATAAATTTTTTTAAATTTAATATTTGAGTTTTTTTTTTTACATTACGGATTACCTGGTATTGTCTCTATTTTGACTAATAAAATAATGCTCAATTTCAAAATTTTATAATCTTGGAAATGTGGTTTATTAAAATATTTTACATGTTTCGTTAATTGTGTGAATTGTGACTGTATAAATATTTCATATGTTTACAGTGATAGAGAAGATCAACATAGGAAATGGCCAAATACTAAAGCTGTTTGTGCGGTAAAGACTGTAAATTTTTCCTTTAGTTGAATGGCATCTCAACAGTTCATCTGAATTTCCAATTTAGGCTGTTAACCTCATTTGATACAAGTAAGATAATTGAGTAAAAATTGACAATTTTAAAAATAAACTTTTAAAATATATAACTTAAAATTTTCCATTACCTGTTTATAGGAAGAGACATGGCCTCAGAGGCAAAAACAGCCGGCATGAAGCAGTTAAAGGTGGATAATTGGGGCACTTTTTTCATGCAAAGATTGCAGCTGTTATTTGCCAAAGGGGATTCGTGTGACCTGACTCTTAAGTTTGTTACAGGTCAGGAACTGAAGGTAATGACTGTAAAATAAACTTGATTAAACGAAGTGTAAATAATATTATTTGAAGTTTATTTGATTTTGTTTTTTAGGTTCATAGCCTTGTATTGCGTACATGTACCTCGCATTTTGACTCGTTACCAAAAGTGGATAATAAAATCAGTCTTCCAGAAACACTGTCATACAACGCAGTTTTTCCTATTATTAAGTGAGTATATTGCTGATTTTAGTATAATATAATGCAAATCATTGTTTAAATAATATAAACTTATGACGTGGTGGTCCCTTTCTAACATGTCACAGGTGGCACCAATATATATTAAACAATAACCCTCACAGAGTGGATTTGCACCTTTTTTCACTCGCGAATGCTGAAATAGCACTACGATGCATTTGGGCATTGTAGCCTGAGACCTACTACTGTTTACAGCCTTGCTGAACCATTTTCTTAAAAGATTATTGTTTCATAATGTTTAAACAAATAGTTTTTGTAAGCTTATAATTCTACTCTGGGAGAAGTGATAAAAATATGACAGCCGCCATGGGATTTACAGTTAGTCCAGTGGCAAGGAAATCAATCAAACACTTCACCCCGATAGTTAAAGGTTGTTGGTTGAATATCACGATAATTAAAGTGTATGTACCAACCAAAGATAAAGATGAAAAGGTGAAGCATGATTTCTTTGATCAGTTGGAAAATATTGTGAACCATGTGCTGGTAGACAAGAGATATCAGAGCTCAATACAAGATGTAAGAAGCCTTCGTGGAGCAGAGTGTGATTCGGACCACTCTCTGATTAGAATTAAACTATGCCAGAGATTGAAGCGAATTCTCACCACAGGGGATCGAGTGGAAAGAAGGAGGTGCTAAGTTCGTAATTTGAAAAATCCTGAAGTAAAAACCAAATTCCAACTTGAACTGAAAAATAAATTCAAACCCTTGGATTCGGCTAGCCTCACGGTGGACTAACACTGAGAGGAAATAGAGAAAGGACTAAAATAAACAACTAAGGAAGTGATAGGTATTTAGGAGAAATGAAAAGCTGAGATGTGGTTCATAGAAGCATGCGAAAAATCATTAGAGGAAAGAAAAAAATGAAAGTCCTCTGCCTAGCTACAACTGATCATGTTGCTCAGGACAAGTACACAGCTGCTGAGAAAGAAGCAAACAAAATTATAAGATCGGCAAAAAGGGAATTCCTCAAAGAAAGGTTGCAAACTATTGAGGACTACTGGCAGGCTGGAAATATATGCAAATTCTACATAGACATTAGAAAAGAAAGGGTAGGATATAAGCGAGAAATACATAATGTGAGGAAAATATGTCATTCTGATGGCATCTAAAGAAAAGATATTGAACATCTGGAAAGAACATTTCTAGAAACTTCAAGAGGACTCCACGAACAAAGAAGACATGGACCAGACTGAGGATCTTGATCTAGAAGAGGTTGAAAAACCAGATATACTGATATAGAAATAGCTATCGAAAGGCTCAAAACAAGAAAGGTCCCACGGATAGACAACCTACCATCAGAACTGTTTAAAGATGGGGGAGACGACTTAAGAGCCCTAGCTACTACAACTTATCCAGAAAGTGTGGAAAGAGGAAAGTATACCTGAGGCTCGTAATACTGGCCTAATCTGTCTTATCTTAATGAAAGGCTCCAAGTGAGTCTTAATGAGTCTACTAATTACAGAGGCATAGCACTCCTTCCAGTTGCCTTCAAGATAATGACCAATATCCTACTAAACCAGATAGATTCATATTACAAAAATATAATAGGCGACCACCAAGCTGGATTCAGTAAAGAAAGGAACATGCTAGATCAGATCTTCATCCCAAAACAAGTACTCGAAAAACAACGGGAAGTAGCTCAGGACGTCCATACCCTATTTGTTGATTTCAAAGCAGCCCATGATTCTGTGGACAGGAACTGTCTTTGGAAAATCATGACTGAACTGGGAGTTCCCGGTAAGTCGGTGAGATTGACAAAGGCATGTACAAATAACCCCAAATGTAGAGTCCTAATACCAGAAGAAGTATCTGAAGGCTTCAAAGTTTGAACGGACTTACGACAGGAAGATGGACTATCAACGATGTTGTTCAACCAAGCCCTGGAGAAGGTGATAAGAACATCACAGGAAAATGGAGGGGTCTACATCGGAATGAATCATAAAATCCTTGGATATGCAGATGATATAGCTGTCCTTGAAAGTAATCCAGAGGACATTGAGAAACTTGAAGACAAAACAAAATATATGATAGTAAGCTGAAAATTCCATCCCAATAACAGGTTCTGCTTAGAAGGAAAATCATTCCCTAAAGTAAAAAAATTCAAATACCTCGGCTCCACAATAACCTCAATGAATGACCAACAGTCGGAAATAGACCAGCGTATAACTAGGACAACAAACAGAGCTTTCTTCCTTCTCCCTATCAAAGGTATTGAAATCCTAAAAAATCTCAAATTAAGGATGTACAATGCTATGATAAAGCCAGTTCTAATATATGGCTGTGAGACCTGGACACTATCCAGCACCCTAGAAAAAAGTATAGAAAGATTTGAGAGAAAAATCCTACGCACGATAACTAGAACGATCTGGGATCAGAGTACTAACACATGGCGAAGAAAGACCAATAAAGAACTGTTTACAGAAACTGGTCAATGAATATCTCATGATATGAAGGCACGGAGATTAAGAGAGGCGGGACATGTAGCTTTTGGCAATCCATCTGGATAGAAGGCCAAAAAGCAGGTGACTAGATAGAATCAACAAATATGCAATAGAGACGTGTGCAGATAACTGGAAAGAAATAGCCTAAGACAGGCAAAGATGGAGCAGGCTTATTAAGGCGGCAAAAGATCTACATGGTCTGTAATACCAACAGAAGAAAAAAAAAAGATTATTTTTCATTTTATACAACTAACATAGACTATTATTCGCTTTAATAATTTGTTTTTATTTTTTTTAGTTTTATGTACTCTGGGAAGTTGGAATTTAAACTAGAGTTACATGCCCAACTTCTGGCCGTAGTGAAAATACTTAACATTACCATTCTGTCCAAACTTTTAACTACAGCACAGGTAATTTTTTTTGTTTTATTTTCTTCCATAGAGTTACGATTCTTGATTAATTATTAATTATGATTATCCTGACAATTATTGAAATATTACAAAAAAGTTTGCCAAATAGGATCAGTATAGCATTTTCTTCATTTTTACTGGTTTCATAATTAACTATATTTTAAGATCTATGATTTGTGAATAAAAACTATGGCAGCTGTTTTTGTAGTATAGTGATGTTAAGAAACAATACATGTATCACTGAAAGTAGACATGTCATATGAATTCATTTACAGAAAATAAATTTTCAAATACAGTTTAAAATCGTATGACCACATATTCTTAATAATTACATATTAAAGAATATGTGCTCTATTAATCAATTAATTTTAATTGATAAATATAATTTAATAAAATTAATAGCAGATCATTTGTACACTATTCCCCAAAGTTTCTACAAATTTGGGCCAAAACAAATGAGATACTTTTGAAATATATGCGTATCTATAAATGTATAAAATACATTTATGCCCACAAATGCTAAAGCAGAGGATAGAATTAAATGAAATTAATATTTTTTTTTATATATATATATTTTTTTTTTACCGTCACTACTTATGTTTCTCATACCTTGTTATCTGGTTATTTTCTTAGCCCTGATGAAGGCCTGAACTTCAGGTCGAAACGTCGGCATATGTAAAAATAAATATTATCATTTATTTTTGTCTTCTTTTTTGACTGACCATCCCAACTATTCTTCTCTTCATTATCCACGACAGTCAACCATTTACCAATTATGTTATATATAGTAGTTTATTGATTAAACTACCTGAAAGTTAGAAACTGGTTTGTGATCCAGATGAGAACCAACAGGATGATAGCAAGATAGTCTTTCAGAATCCAAAGTGCTAGAGCATTGGCAGTGAACTGAAAGAAATAGCACAGACTATTATTAAGTAGACCAAGGGAAGTTTCTTACGGGTGTGTCAACATGGTCTTCTAACATGGTGTGTCAACAAAAGAGGATAACTGATCTGGTCTCAGATAACACCTTATTTAATATAGATTCATTTGAGACCTTAACCATTTGTATTAATGGAAAAAACAGAAATGTTCAGTTAAGAACTCAAAGAAGACAAAAACATTTTTTTTAATATGAGGAGTTGATCGGGAGATGTGGTCAAATAAATACTAAATTATACAAATAGTATTATTTAATTTTTGCTGACGTTTCGACCCACTTTGCAGGTCTTCATCAGGGTTACAAAAGATAGAAAACATGGTGAAAATAAAATAAATGAATATAAGTAGATATAAAATAAGAAGAAGTTGTCTGATTAAGAAATAAAAAGGTGATATCGGAGATATAGTGGGTGACAATGTAGTTAAAATATCAAGTATTATATGTATAGAAGATACCAACAAAAATGGAAAATAAGTATGAATAAAAATAGAAAACAAAGGAGGATATAATTTTTTATTTTATTTAATATATTTTTTTATTGAGAATATAGTTTTTTTTAAATAATGGCTCAAGCCCTTTGGCTTCACAACAGTGCTAAAAAGCACAATTCTTTTAAAAAGAGTACTAAGAGTATAATTAAAAAATTATCAATTTTCCATTTTGGCATGTATCAGTCCCTTTCTTTTCAATGCTTGTCATAGGAGTATCATTATAACCTTATCGAATAATTAAGAATAATCTATCAAAAATTGAAGAGGGGGGAGGGGGCAAAACCAGCTTTAAACATCTTGAAAATGATATTTTTGATTTATTATTGTACTTTTTTTTGACTTATTCTTTTAAAACTTTACTTCAAAAGATTTAAGATTAACCAGACTTACAGGTCCCGAAGTACTTTGTTTTAAAATTGCTGAAGTCGACTCTTTGCTTTTTATGTTCCCAGTGATGCCACAAAGGTTCACAAACTTTTAGACAAGTTTTTACATTATTTTCAATTTTAAAGAAATAATATTTTTCAAAAAGACTAAGTGAATTGGGCATCAATCAGTTATAACTAAGCAATTACTTTACCAAAACACTTCCCTTCTCATAATGCTCTTGTCTTGTACATGAACTCAATAGTTTGACAAAAACATATTTTGCAAATTAAATTTAGTGAATATTTTTATAAGATATTTTTGAACATTTTTAGAAAACAGATGTTCCTGTACCCCTTACTGTAAAAGCTAAACCAATTAATTCTACCCCAGAAGCAAATAATAAGACACCGTCACAACTAGTCTTGCAGCAGAATACCCCATCAACTTCGTATAATCTTTTTTCTTCTAAAAAGTAAGTAGAATTTTTTTTATTTAGCTTTATTATATTTGAAATATTTATGCAATGCTGTTGTTACTAGCAATGTTGTATTTGATTAGACATGCCTTACTTATAACATTTTAATTTTTAAATCCTTTTTTGACTTATAGCTTCTGTTAATAGTAAATTTTTGTTTGCTATTTATCATTTTTAAACATTCTATAGTTACAATTTTTTTCAAGAATTATTATCATAGATTAAGCTCATTTCTAAAACACCATTCACAATGTACATTGACTAATAAAAGCTATATTAAAAAGTTTTTTTCTTAACATTTATTTATAAGAATAACTAGATTTTGTAAGGGGTATTGGTGCACTCCTATTTCTTTAGAGATAAAATTTACAGTTTACTTACTCTCAGAGACCACTCATTAAAGAGTGATAAGTAATTAGAATATACTCCATTTTTATTCATGAATAATTTAGATTCAAATTTAATAACAAAATAGATAGTAAGGTCGGTTGAAATACAACCCGATCCATTTTTTTATGTGGTTTTTGCATAGAAAGAAAATACAATAAGATTTTGTTGTATGTGTGTAGCAATGTGTTACCATGTTTAATACTGCAAATGAAAAAAAATCATTTAAATGTCTATAAAGAATTTTAGCGATCTCTAAATATGGATTTGATAAACATATTTTGTCCTAAATCTTTGAAAGGTTAAGTTTTCCTTCAATTTATTGAAATTAATCTCTTGTAAACATTTGTTAATTTATAATTAATGATGGTTAATTAATATTGGTTGATTATTGACAATTATTGGAGAAACAATTATACTTAGAATGAATGGCCATTCTGATTATATCACTTACTACAATTATAGGTCATATTATACAATTATCATTGTAGGATATTTGTATCATAACATTTTTAAGAATTAAAATTTTTTTTTTTCAAAGATTACCTTTTTGGAGGAAAAGAACATTGCCATTTATCACCAGGTTCCGTAAACCGTAAGTGTTATTTTCTGTTTAACATAATTCAATTTTTTTTTTTTCATTCAAGCAATCAATTTTATTTAAGTTGTTTTAAAGATCTAATTGACAGTTAAAGATTCTATTTTTTTAATTTTAACAGATTTTTGTAAATAAAATGACAAATTAAACAATATTGTTATGTAAAATGTAAATATTCAACTGTATTTAATATAATTTTTATTATGCTTTTATGTATGTTTTATTATTTGTTTAGGATTGAAGAAGAGCCAGGACCTACAAGATATGCTTGGCCTGAAAATGAACCCATGGATTTATTGCAAATATCTTCTCCTTCATTTAACCCCCTTTCTTATGAATCAGATCAAATTATTATGAGGTCAACTAAAGATGAAGAGAAAGATGTAGAAAGAATAAAACCACCTCAGAGACGTGTTATTGAAAGCCGTCTTCTTACAACGCACGACAGTGATGATGATGACGATGACCGTTTTGAAGCTCCATACAGTAGTGACGAGGAGCCTGTTCCTACTCCTCCTCCACCCACACCACCTCCACCTCCCCCTGCTCCTGCTCTTAAACCATGCCTGAAATCTTCACCTCCAGCCTCAGAAACAGCAATTACACCTCCTGCTTCTAAAAAAGTGCGGTTTTCTCTTGGACCAGAAGGGAAAGAAAACACTGTCCAATCAACTTCAAACCATGCTAGGATTATTGCAGAGGTTCTAAAAAAATACCCCGATCTTGTAAAAAACAAAAATATAAAACTTAAAATAAGTTCTCCCAGACCCAAGATTGAAAATGGTACAGTTGGTGTGGAAGAAAAGGCATCATATGTTGTAGTACGACCAACTTTAAAGTCAACTCCAAATACATCAGGAAAACAAAATGACTTGGTCGGTCCTTGGTCTTGTGAACATTGTTCTGAATTGAAATTTAATGACTATCTCAGCTTTCGAAGACACCTACAAGAAACCCACAATGAACGGCTTGATTCAAGAGTGTGTGAATACTGTGGCTACAAATCATCTAAAAGAAATTTGCACTTGTATCATTTATTAACCAAACATAATGTTCCTCCACCAAAAAACATAAATTTCCCGAAATGTTCAGAATGTGATTATATAGCTCTTAGTGAAACTTTGCTTTTGAAGCATGCCAATTCTCATCAGATCCGATGTGATATTTGTAAAGTCTCCATGAAAACAGTTGCAGCATTACAAGCTCACAAAGTCACTTGTAAACCAGGAAATGAACCACGCAATATAATTTGTGATTTATGTAAAAAGGCATTTAGAACAAATGTAAGCCTGAATGCTCACTTGAAAGAATGCCAAGGGAAGCCAGCAAGTGATGGGAATATTTATAGCGAAGAGGGAGACTCGCAGCCAGTAGAGATGATCGAAGTGCCTATCATAGGGGCTGTAGATGTTGCAAAAAATGACCATACTCTAGTACAAATACCATCGAGTATCATACTGACTGAAAACCAAAATGTGGCTCTTCTACCATCATCAGAGTCTGAAGGTTTAAATAATGTGGCTACAGGTATTGCTATAATTCTTGAAGGAAACTCAGATTTTTTCAATTCAAACCAAGAATATATTGTTCCAGAGCTTTTGGAAGGCAGCTTTGCATCAACAGCTAACATATCTTATGGTAGTACAGATCAAGTTATTTATTTAGGTAGTAGTACTAGCAATGCCCACCGAGGGGAAGTGATTCACTTAGAAGAAATAAAATTAAACCAACCCCAACCTGGAACTTCATCAGCTGGAGACAAGGTGATCACTGAACATAAAATACCTGATCCTAATAATTCCATAAACAGTACAGTTTTAGTCAGTGAAAACATATCAGTAATTAGCAATGATGCAATCAATCAGAATGAACCAATAGTAATAGAAGACGGCAGTAAATCAGAAATAATGAACAGCGTGGAATATATTTCAGAAACTCACAGTGTACAGACAGTTGTTGAAGAAAAAATAAATGATTCCCAACAATGTGAAATTGAAGAAAATAATAATGGTTCACAAAATTTAACTTCAGATATTAACATTGAAAAAAGTAATAGCATACCATTTGAAAAAAGTGATTGTACACCATCGAATGTGATAGAGCAGACAAGTGCTGAGATTCTACATGTTCAAAATTCAGAACTTAATCTGAACGTCAACTCTAAACAAGTAGAAGAATCGAGAATAGTTTGTGAAGAGCAACCTCAACGAGCAGAGGAAAATGTAGTGGAAGCAATTAGTTTAATAGAAGAATCAAACGATGAAGGCAGAAGGGAAGAACAAGTTTGTTTAACTTCAGAAAATATGCAAGTAGATGAAGCTAGAGAAGAAATGATTGTTGATGAAAATAAAGATGAAGACATGGATGTTGAAGAAAATTTAGATTTACGAGGTACCAAAGATGCAATGGATGTGGAAGAAGCTGAAAAGACTGGAAATGAAAAAGTTGATAGTTTAGTTAAAGATTGGGGTTTTGATGATGAAGATAATGAGGAAGTCATAGACGATCCAGAATGTAAACCCCTTCGACCTGAAATCGATATACCATTGTAAAATTAATTTATATTTTAATTTATGATTTTATTTTATATAAAGTTGTATTATTTTTTAAAGTTAAGTTTTAATGTACATATGCGAATGTATAAACATTATTTTAGAGTATAATTGCTAGTTAAATGTGGATTATATTTCGTAACACCACATTTTGTAAACTTTAAAGTAAGGGATTTCTCCTTAAACAAATTATGGAAAATAAATATATTTCTAATTAAATAATTGTATAGCAAAACACAGTGAATAAACTGAATTATGTAAAGTAATGTTGTTTTTCCTTTTACTCTAGCATATTTATGTTGATGCAGAAGGAACTGATAAAAACAAAAAAATTACAATAGTATTAGATGTACATATAAGGGGAGGTTATGGATGTAAGGTCACCAATTTCAATGAAACCTTTTTTGGTAATACTAGGTTGAAAAATATTAGACCCTTGTTTGAGGGTCTTGCCAATGTGCCCTAGGATTCCCCTCCTCCCCCCCCAAAAAAAATGAATTAAAATGTATCATTGAAAAAAACGAAAAAGACGCTTCCAGTGAAGTAGACTAATTAAATTTTTGTCATGAAAAATAATTCAAATTTGTTTTTAGTCTCCTTTAAAATTTTTAAATACAAATTTGTTTTGAAGTAAAAAAAATATTAATTTTATGGGAGGATTTTTTTTTTTCATGCCGTAACTAAAACATTTATAAGTTCTTAGAATTTTTCTTAAGTCAACGTTATTACAACTGTCAGAAAGCTAAATTATTGCTCTTCAAAACCATCCTAATAACTGCTAGATTTTATACCTTTATAGGAAATAAATAAAGAAAAACATCCGAAACATTGTTATTTTATGTATCCAACCCTAATTAATTTACAGGTGTCTGGTTTGTGCCATTTCGTTTTTTTTAATAGGGTCATAAATTCATACTAATTTCTGTGTGTATACGTGAAGCCTGAAAAAAAAAAAAAATCAAAGGCTCCAGCCTATGAGAAAATTTTGAGCAAAATATTTTTATTTTTCAAATGCTACGAAAATTCATATTAGGAGTTTTTCGAGGTACAAAATCTCAACATTGTTTTTCATTAAAAATATATTTGAACCTACTTTAATAGTTTCAATAGCCTTCTCATACTATAATTATATACCAAATATTTTTTATTCTAAACCTGACAGGCAACTAAGGTAAGATTAGATACACAAAATAAGGTATGTTGTCCGGGTTTAGTCTGAAAATAAGAATAAAGCATGTAATATACATATTATGCACAATATACACATCCAGATACCATCAAATATATTTTTCGGGGATGCAAATAGATGATAATCATTTTTCTTACCTCTAAAAACCATTCAATAAGAATTTTCGTTGCATCAAAAAAAATAAAAATGATATATCTGTATTTAAAGCTTTATTATAGAACACAGAAAACTGTGATCAGATTTTCTTAGCAATAGAAAAATAAATATATTTTGCTTAACGTTACAATATATTTAACAGTTGTAATATGTTCTACAAAGCTATAAACATAGATGAATCTCATAATTTCTATGAGATTAGAAATAATAGAAGGCAAAAAATTGAGTAAAATTTTCATTTTTTGATTACAACGGAAATTCTTATTGAAGAGTTTTTAGAGGTGCGAAAAATAATTAGCATCTTTGTTCATTCCCCCAAGAAATATATAGCATTTCCAAGTCAATTTCAACCTTTTCCAAATCAAATTCAACCTTTTCCAAGTCAAATTAAACCTTTTCCATTTCAAATTAAGCCTTTTCCAAGTCAAATTCAACCTTCGAATTTTTTAACTACTATAACTATATTAACGAAGGTATAGCTTTTGAAAAATACAAAAAAAAAATTTGATCGGTTGCATATCCATTTATTTTAACATTTCAGATTTTTTCAGTGTGATATTTCTATGTCATTTCCAAGTCAAATTCAACCTTTTCCAGATCAAATTAAACTTTTTCCAAGTCAAATTCAACCATTTCCATTCCATCCAGAGGTCATTTTCAAAATCTACAGCTCCGGAAACATAAAAATACACCCTCATATGAAAAAAATCCGAAAAACTCAAATAAGTTGAAACGCGGTGGCCTAATCTTAAAATGGAGGTCATTTTCAAAATCTACAGCTCCGGAAACATAAAAATACACCCTCATATGAAAAATATCCGAAAAACTCAAATAAGTCGAAACGCGGTGGCCTAATCTTAAAATGGAGGTCGTTTTCAAAATCTACGGCTCCAGAAACATAAAAGTAGACCTTAATATTGGATAAATTCTAAAAACTAAAATAAATCAAAACATAGTGGCGTAAACATAAAATGGATGTCATTTTCAAAATTTATTGATCGGGAAACAGGAATCGGGAATCGGGAAAACATAAAAATACACCCTTATATCGAATAATTCAAAAAAACTTAAATAATTCGAAACTCAGTCACGTAATCTTAAAAAGGAGGTTATTTTCAAAAACTACTCATACGATAACAGACCCACACATCGAAAAATTAAAGATAATTAAATAAATAAAAAAAGGTTGAATTTGAAATGGAAAAGGTTTAATTTGAAATGGAAAAGGTTGAATTTGACTTGGAAAAGGTTGAAATTGACTTGGAAATGCTATATTTGATGGTATCCTGATGTGTATATTGTGCGTGATATATACAATACATTCTTTAATCTTATTTTCAAACCTATAAAAAAAATTTGTTTTTTAACTACAGTATGAGAACAATATAGAAACAGTCCGTACTGACGGACAAAGCAAAGTGGATTCACATATTTGTTTAACCAAAAACAGAGTTGAGATTTGTATTTAACACTTTGAAAAATCTCTATATTGAAAAAAAAAATGTTTTGCTCAAAATTTTTATCTAAGCTGGATGGAGGTCTACGATTTTTAAAATCACAAAAATTATGATATAGTTTTAAAGAGAAATAATTTAGCTTTCTAACGGTTGTAGTAACGTTGACTTAGGAGAAAATCCTAAGAAGTTATGAATGTTTTAGTTAACGGAATGAAGAAAAATAATCACATAAAATTAAGGCCAAAAATTTATATTTTTTTACTTCAATACAAATTCGTATTTAAGAATTTTAAAGGGCACTAAAAACTAATTTGAATTGTTTTTGCCTACTTTACTGGAAGCACCTTTTGGTTTTTAAAATTATGATACATTCCAATTTTTTTTTACAATATTCTTTCTTATTTTCCAAAAAATATATCAACTGATAAATAATAACTTAGAAATCTATGCAGAACGCACTAAGTAATAAAATTTTTATATTATAAGAATAATTTTTGTTAGCTCATAAACCGCATTGGCAAGAACTCTCCTAAGGCATGTATCTAATATTTTTTCAACCTAGTTTCATAAAAAAAGTTTTCATTGGCATTGGTGAACCCAAGTCAGTTACCTCTCTCCTTGTTAGTAAGAGATAAAAGAAGTTCATCTACATATGACTTTTTTGGGGAAAATTACTAACAAATATTTGTTTAAAATATAATGGATCTATTGATTGGAATATTATTTGTCATTTCTATAGATGAAGTATCATTTCTGGGAATGGTTTTCATTTGGATATTTAACCATGATTTCTTAGTTCTCTGTATCAAACTGCAAATAATGTATTATAATTTTAACACAATTTAACTTTCTTATTATTTTGTGGTACTTGGAAAGATAGAACTATTGATAGTTTCTAAATAGTTAAATTATTATTAACATAACAGGGGAGGAGGGGGAGAAATTAACTTTACTAAAAAAAATATGAGACTCAGACTCACTAGTAGGTTGAAACTTATGTTGTATGTTGTTAGGAAAGAGAAATTTTTACACAGTAATGGTCAAATCTAATTTATATTACAAATATTCTTTTACATATTTACAAAAAAATCATCAAAACTACCTCTGATGCTAGGTACTAAAAAGTTGATCAATTGAACTTCAAAAATAAAAAATCAAAAACTCTATGAAATGTTTTTAAAACTTTCTTTGAGCAATTTATATACAAACATTTCTTTAAAATATAATGGAGACATTACTAAGGAACATTTCAATTATTAATTAATCTTGCAATGTGTCATTTCTTTGAAGAGTTTTCTTCCCATGGTCTTGGACCTCTAACCATTTCCCAATTTTCAGTATCTATCTGCAAATAATGTATAGAATATTAATTAGAAACGTTAAATAAAGATAATTTATAATTAATAAAGATAAACATATATTTTGTGAATCTAGATACATTTCTGATAGATCAAAGAATATTAAATATATATTTTCCTTTTCACTTATATATGAAATGTATAGTAAGAGAAAGTATTGCAATTGTGCACATTTTTTAATCCGAGTTTTCAATGAAAATAAATGTTTGGATATCTCCTGAGTTTAAATAACCAAGTTCTGCAAAATGGTCTGTGTGTATAAACATGTTACAGAAACTTTTTTACTGAAACTAACGGGAAATAATCTATTTTACATATTTTTACAATTTCCTCAAAAACGGCTCCAACAATTTTGATTAAATTCATCATACATTAGTTACATCAGTGTAACATTAAGTGATCTTTAATATTAGATAGGTATTAACCTTATTGAAATGGTCTGGCATGGCTTAAATGCCAAATTTTCAACATTTCCTCTAAAGTACCTTGAATTTTATTTATTTGAAATAATTAACCATTTTATATTGTAACCAGTTATAAAAAATGGTTAAATATAAACAATGAAAAATCAGGTGAGCGCATCACACAACTTTCACTTATCGCTCTTCTTTGAATAGAATTTTCTAAAAATGTTGGGCTGTTATAAAATTTTTGAAGAGCACTTTTAATCTGACTAAACCTTAAACCTTACTGCTAACCTGACACAAATCATTAAGGACATTAAAACAACAAAAATGATGGGTTTTGTGCAAGAAGGAGGCAGCTACACTTTGTCACTCTATTGAGTTGCATATCCTGTCAGATACAAAACAAAAACACCGCTTCGTTTGGTACAAGAATGAAGCAGCTCCACCCTAGTTATACTCCTAGCTAGTTCCAGAGAATCCGACAGATGGAGCTGCCTCGTTTTTCCTCCAAATGATAAATATTTAATCACTAAGTACAAACTATTCCTCTATTAACAGCCATATATCTGTAAAGTGATTATTCAATGCAGTGTGATTGTAGGGATGACTGTCTTCGATAATGTGCAAATTTGCAACCAAAGACTTGCAGGTCTCATAACACTGGATCACCTTCAAGCTTATGATTGTCTCATCCCGCTTAAAGACCAAAAATTTAAAAATATCAATGAGCTGGCCAGAAAGTATGTTGGGCAAAACGAAATGTGATTTTAGGACCAGTTGACGTCAGATGCTTCAAACGGTCTTGAGGAGAATGAGGGAGAGCTGAAAGACTGAAGAAGAACTGTACATATTGATGTATTATGCCAATGATGTACTTTCTTTGTTAAGAAATGTTTTGTAAACTGAAATATGGTTAATTCTGGAGAAAATGATCCTACAAAGGGTTTTTCATTCACTTTGGAGCAAAACGGAAGCAGCTCCATAATTTAAAGTTGTATTTGATACCGCATAACCTAACACAAGACTGAATATTTTTTGGTTTCGGTGAAAACTGAATTTTTTTAATTTGCTACATACTGCAGAAAGTGGAGCTGCCTCCTTCTTGCACAAAACCCTTCAAATGCTATTTATGATATCAACAGTAACTCCATCTGTTTTTGTAAATCACATAACCCGTTTCTGAGCTAAATATGTATATCTCAATTTGAAAGCACATCTATATATTTAATGAAATAATTTTATAAACAATGATATTGATTCAGTGGATTTTATATACTTTTTCAAAATTTTACATTTTGTAAGGAAATTTTATTTAATCTCCTTAGATAAGTGGTTTCCGTTAAATAATATTAGTTTTCAGAAATTATTATTTATAATTTTTTCATTACTCTCCGTTACCTCCTACAACTTTGTATGTTAGATATTCTAAAATTCTGTTTTTCAACTATATATTATACATATATCTTTTCTGACTATTATTTCCGGAAATTCATGTTCAGGATTAATTAACATTTTTCCTTTTTTCTCCTCTAGTCAATTCTCAAATTCTTTCAAAGCTTTTATTTAGCCATTTTTTATTGCTGCTAACAATGAGATTGCTAACAATTTTATTGCTCCTAGTTAATTATTTAAAATAAGCCAAATTAAAGGTACTTTAGAGGAAAAAAAAAATTGAACATTGGGCATTTAAACCCTGTGAAGTGGAATCAACAGGAATAAGAACTACCTTATGATATTAAATGCCATTTAATTATACAATGGTATATGCAATTTAATCGAAATTGTTGGAGTCATTTTTTAGAAAATTGTAAAAATGTGGGAAATCAATAATATAAAGTGGCACTTTTGGTTAGCCAATTTTCAGGAAAAAGTTGCTCTAACATCCTAGAAATATCTTAAATACATGTCAGTTTCATACAACTTTTCAATTTTGAGCTAGGCTGTTCACATACACACACACACAGACCATTTTGCGGGATTTGATTATTTGGACTCGGGGGAACTCAAAACATGTAATTTTGTTGAAAACTCAGATTCAAAAATTTTCATGACTATAATACTTTCCCTTACTTTATATTACATACATAAGTAAGCGAAAGTAAAAAGTGACTGAAATGAAAAAGTCAGCTGCTCCGGGAGTGAACTAAGTTAATCCTATGTTACCTCTTCTCTCTCTCTCTCTCTCTCTCTCTCTCTCTCTCTCTCTCTCCCACCACGATATTTTGATTAAGTACATTTTTAATCAAAGAAGATATTACTAAATTGTCTAGAGAAAAAGCACTGGCTAAGAGAATGAATATAAGGCAAACAATAATTGTATTGCTCAGTTATTGCCCGTGATTGTATTTGTCTATATTACACTTAATTTTTCCTGAATTTAATTGATTGAAGGGATAGAGGGAACTAATCAGACATTACAATAATTTTTCTATAAGTCATTTAAGAATATTAACTTTTATGGAATGTATCTCAATACTTGTACTTTTATAAAGATGCAAAAGTGGTAGTTTTTAATAATGTTTCTTATAAAAAATTAAATAAAACTGGAGAAGTTAGGACTAATTGTTAGAATTTACATCATATTTATAACTAAAATTATTTGAACCTTGTATTCAGTTATATACTGCTTTAATTAAGTTATCAGTTTTACATAAGTAGTAAAGAAACCAAAAATAAAACATACTGATTTAATTTTTTCATATTCAGTTTGCAGAGTCACTTCACCAGGTTTCTTCATCTTAACTCCATAAACCTCAGCTTCTGCAGGCCTTATAAGATTAGTTTTCGAATACTGAAACCTTGAATCAAAATAATTAATTTAAATTTTACAACTATCGAAGCTCTTGATTTTCAATATTAATTATCAAACAATTAAATACAATACACAGGTCAACTAAATGAAACATCACAAATAAAACATAAAAGTAGTGTTTATCAGTATTTGTTTCGGATAAAAAGTTGTTTTATCTGATTTATTCTATAATATTTAATGATGGCTAATATATCTAAAAACAATGAAAATTTGGGTCCAATTTGAGGAACAGAGGCAATCAACTTATTGTTGATGAGTAGTTTCTTTTATTAGAATAAAAATATATTGAACCAGTCTACAACTGAAATTAAAATAATAATTCTTATATTTCCTAAGAATAAATCAGTATTAGTAGATTAAAAATTATGTAAAGATAAATTAAATTAGTTCGTCCTTATTTTTCTAATTCATGATTTACCATAAATTATATAAAATATGATCTATACAAGTAAATAATACTCTTTGAAAGAAATGTCAGAACTTCTTTCTCAGAACCACTGGCAGATCCAGAATTTCTTTTTAGGGAGGCCCAGCCCGAAAGATTCTTTTTTTCCCCCTTTAATATAACGATAATTACTTCGGAAGAAAAAGAAAGAAAGTACCTACCTACATGAAATGGTGTAAAAGTGATTCTTGAAGTCATATTAAATGTAATTACACGAAAAATAATACTTTTAGAGATAAATTTTTAATATTTTTTTCATAAGATATGGTAATATTTTACCATTTTTTTGGGGGAGGGGAAAGAGGAGAGCTTCAATTCGAAAGTTTCACCTCCCCTTCCTCGTAGATCCGTCTGTGCTCAGAACTATCAACCTTTCTCAGAGTCAGATTCAACTTGAAAAAACTTTGTAGTGATATCATACTATTCCATTCCATACTTATTATAAGTGTTTAGAAATTTAATGAAATACATTTTCTATTTCTTTTTCCCCTTATATCATTAATTGTTGTTTATTTCTAAATAAATTCTGAACTAAATTTGATGAAAATTTATTTTAAATTAGTGAAGTAGTTTTAGTGAAAATTTTAATTAAAATTGATGACCGTTGAAATATTTTTAGATTTCTACATGAATTTCACTGCTCAGAAAATTATCTTGAAAGATAATTAATTGTTGATTCGCTAAATAAAAAAGTTCTCTTACAGCTTACAATAAATTTAAATATTTTTCTTTTATTATATGTGTATTATGTTACATAAATATTATTTAATTTACAAATACTTTCCCATTTGTTCAACCTTTGATATTTATTTTCCAGCAACATTAATTACCACAACAACGTTATATAGTTTAGTATAACCATAATTAACTTGAGTTATTTACTATAAGTTTTTCTATATTCTATTACATGACTTTTCATTCCTTCTCAAAAGGTTTCATACAATCATTTTGAACTTACTGATTTAAATTTAGTAGAAACTAAATACCAACATTTATCACATATTTAAAGAAAACTGAGGCTGTAGTCGATTTCCAGTAATAGATAAAAAAAGAATTCCACAATCATACAAATTAAATTAATAGTGTTAATAGTTGATATAATATTGGTTAATTTAATCCAAAATCTGATGTATTTTGCAAGTAAAGCTTCTTATAGTGCGTAATTTCATTTATGACCCCATCTCCAATCAACTTCTATTGTTCAATCCACACTCAACAATATCTCTACCTTTCGAAAACAAAATATCTTTGTTAAAACTGCAGTGGTCAGCTCAGTGTATAGATTTGGTAATTAAACTGAACTTTGGTGTTATATTCCTGCCAAACGAGAGCAATTATCATTTGGTCGGACATTATAAACTTTATAACACTATCCAATATCAAAATTATTTATCTTTCCTGATTTTCTCTTTAGAATAAGTAATCAAAGTCATAGAGTGCAAGCTGACAATTATAGGCTACAATTTAAACTACATTATTTAAACAAGAGCATTAGTTAAAAACCAATCTACCTAAGCTGTGAAAATTCTCTTAAGCCCAAGGAGCCCCCAATAATTAATATGAAAAATGGCATGCCATATTTTACAAGTGGCCTACGAAAGAAGTATTTTAAATTCTTCAGTACATTTGTCATTACTTTATACCATATATTTTAATCAATCTCTTCAATAACAGCCTACACTTCAGATCATAGTATTTGTAACCTGTCTCCCTTGTAACCAAAAAACCTTAATAAAAAAATTATATATGATTAAAATTCAACAAATTAAAATTTGTTGAATTGTATAAAATATTACAAGGAAATATTTTTTTGTACACCCAGAAAATATTTAAACATTGATATAATGCTGTTTTTTTAATATTGTGTATTTGTACAATACCAACATTTATGTTAATTTATCAAATAAAATAAAAATATTTATAGAGAAAATATTCTTTAGTTTAAAAAATATATAATTAATTTTAAACTTGTTTAATAAATATTTACTATATCATATATTTAAAAAATTAATTCTTTCGAATCACTTGATCTCTCCCGATCACCTTCCTATTTCTTTCAGTGAGTTACTCGTGGGGTGTACGTTCTCTTCGCACGATGAAGGTATGTTCTTACAAGTTAATTTAGTTTAATGAAGTTTTATCTTAATTATTTAATGTTTTCAATGTTTTTAAATGTTCAATTATTAAACTGTTCAAGTATTTTAAGTTTAGGATGAGGGATGGTTAAGATATAATTGGATTTAAGTAGTTGATATCAGGAATTTATTAAATTTTGTTTCAGTTAAACGTGGCTTATCCCGCTACGGGATGTCAGAAGTTATTCGAAATAACAGATGAACATAAGCTGCGTATGTTTTATGATAAACGTATGGGAGCTGAAGTTGATGCTGATTCTCTGGGGGATGAATGGAAAGGTTATGTTGTTAAAATTACTGGTGGAAATGACAAACAAGGTTTTCCCATGAAACAGGGTGTATTGACTAATGGTATGTGCTTTTTAATTTTCTTTTTATTGACTCAAGTAGTTGAATATTTGTGCAAACTCTTAGGATCCTAAGCAATCTTAGTGATATTGGTGTGTGTGTGTGTGTTTGAATTGTTCTGAACAATCCCTAGTCCTCAAGAGATTCAGTTGTTTTAGTATTTGTTTACTTGCTGAGAAATTCTATTTTCTGAAAGCTGGGATTCTTATTTAAATCCCAAATTTTATTTAATGTTGATGTTCTCCTGGCTAATTAATCATTTTAATATTCATTATTGCTATGATACTAACTGTAAGTGGAGTCTTTGTCTTTTAATTAATATTTTATGATTTTTGTATTACTGTTTATACATGGTGTTTCAGGGTTAAGTGGTCAAACTGAAAATATGAATTAACGATCTCAAAACAATAGAATAATTCCTATGTAGGTATGTCTGCAAATGCTTTGTTTAGGAGATATTCACACCTAAAGATTTTCATTGTTATCAATTATTGACATATTTAGTAAATAAAACTTATTTATTTGTTCTGTCTATTTTATTTATTTAACATATACATTAAATTCATATTAAATGTTGTTTAAAGTGATTTCCTTCATCATTTAGATAGGCTCGATATCTTTCTTCAAGAGCAGCAGTGGCAGAACGACACTGGATATTTGTTATTGTTTCATAAGATTCAATTATCTTTCTTTTTAAGGAATTAAGGTCATTGACCGGACTTGCATAGACTTTTCGTTTAATGTCACTAAAAACAAAAAAATACAGTGGTGTCAGGTCTGGAGAGCGTGCAGGCCAAGCCACTGGTCGTGCACGCCCAATGATTAGGATAATCAACATTTAACTATTGTCTTGGAATTTGAATATGAATGTTAAAGTTTACATTCAATTAATAAAGTAGTTCGAACAAATAAATAGGTCTTATTTATTTCATATAACTAAATAATTCAAAACATCAAAAATCTTTAGGTGTGAATATCTCCTAAACAAAGTGTTTGCGGACATACCTTCAGAGAAATATTTTTTTCTTGTTTTGAGGTCCTTAGTTCATTTTTATAGTTAGGCTTCTTATCCCTGAAACACACTGTATAATTGCTGTCTCACAAATTCAGTAAACAGATCAGAATTTGTTTACTGAATTTATAATTGTTATTGGATTTGTAGTTGTTTATTTATTTTTATCTTTAGTTTCTTTCTAATTGAACCGTGATGCTATTGATTTATTAATAATTACAGGTCGTGTGAGACTTCTCTTGTCCAAGGGCCATTCTTGTTATAGACCTCGTCGTGATGGTGAGAGAAAGAGGAAATCAGTTAGGGGATGCATTGTTGATGCTAACCTAAGTGTTTTAGCCTTAATTATTGTCAAGAAAGGTGAACAGGTAACATTATCTATTGCTTCTTAAAAAAAAAAAATAAAATAAAATATTCATAACAATTGTGAAATTAATGTTTATAGGGTCTAGACATAAATAGTAGTGCCTATCATAAACTAATATTAGTTGTATGTCTTTTATCCAGTTATTACCAAACCACTGGAGAAAAGGAAGTGAAGTTTAAAATACTTTCTTTCCTTTACTGAAGTGGAATATTAACTACCAATTCTTACCACATCTTGGAAGATTGTGTTTTCCTTTGATGATATTAAATTGTGTTACATAGGTTGTTGATTAGGTAAATATTAATTAAAAGCAAGCAGAGTTTGAAATTGAAATAAAAATCAAATCTGATCAAGATTATTATATGGAATTTTAAAAAATATTTTGATGATTTTTGTTAACAGTGATTTTTATTTTTGATCTTAAGTGATAAAAATCATATCCTATTTTTGAACAAAATTTTTATAATTAACAATAATAATATAATTCTTAAGGAATACTTTATATAATCAAAAATATAAATTATTTGTCATCTCTATAATATATTTTGAGTCGGGAGTAGTAGGTGGAGAATATTGTTGTCAACTATCAGCAACAGAACATCTTTATTTCCGTATTTCATTAGAAATTTTGTCTTCCAAAAAAAATAATATGTATTTACTTACATTTTTGAAGGCACAGCATGCACAATTTAAGCGATTTCAGAAATATAATTTTTATAAAGTTACATTAATAACATACATATTAATATTTTATTAATTATTATAAAACCCACCTCTCATCCTCCATCCCCTTTTCTAGTTCTCAAAATCTGTACTCTATTCCTTTATATAGATATCTACCATACATCCCTTTCCTTTCTGATAAAATTAAAAAATCATTACGTTCCTCCATCCCCAACCTGAGGTTTTTTTTTTTTAAAACTGCAACAAACTTGCCAAAATTATATTCAAACCTAAAAGACCCCATCCTTCTTTAACATCGCTCTAATATAGTTTATCACATTCCTTGTTCTACCTCCAATTGTAACTCTATATTGGAGAAATCAAAAACCCAATGAAATACGCAATTTCTTCCAATAACTCTACTGCTTCTGAACTTTCTGAACACGCCTTATCTTCACATTTGACTTTAAAAATTACACACCGACTGTAATGACAATTAAATTTTTAATTATAAATCAGGTATGATTTTCAAATTAAAAATCACATATAATAATTTCATAATATATGGAAAAAGTAATTATCGATTTCAAAACCTGAAAACAAGATATATTTTTTAGGACCTGTACCACTACTGGGGTGGTATGAACCCATGAAGGGTCTAAGGTTCAGTACTATTTTGGAAAAGTACTTTTTTTTTTTTTATCATCATAACCTTGTTTCCATTTCTACTTACATTCTAAATTTCTCTTCTAATTTTTTTTTCTTATAGAATTACATATGTTAATATTTTATAACATACCGGAAGCAGTGAAAGTATGTTATAAAATATTCACTTTAATCTTAACCAGTCGAATCACGGAATACGCCGAGGAAATTATCGGAGACTACCAATGCGGATTTAGACGGAATCGTTCGACTATTGATCAAATATTTTCTTTACGGCAAATATTAGAGAAACAATTGGAGTATAACGGTATTGTTCACCAGCTGTATATAGATTTTAAAAAGGCTTACGATTCTACTGACCGCCAGAAACTGTATAATATTCTAATCGAGCAGGGGATTCCAAAAAAACTAGTAAATCTAGTCAGGATGTGCTTGACGGAGACACTCAATAAAGTTAGAATCGGTAATAATTTGTCCGAAAAATTTGAGGTTTGTTCGGGCTTAAAACAGGGGGATTCTCTTTCGCATGTCCTGTTCAATTTGGCATTAGAACATGCCATTAGGGAGGTAATGCGAACCGAGAAAGGGTTGGATCTGGGCGGGACAACATCCGTGCTGGGCTATGCTGATGACATGGTACTGTTAAGCGAAGACGTTGAAACTATAAAACTAAATACGACAACGTTAATGAAAGCCGGTAAAGAACTAGGACTCGAAATAAACGTGGATAAAACAAAATATATGGTTAGCTGCAAAAATGGCGATACTACTGGTGATATCGATATAGATGGTAATATGTTTGAACAGGTAGATAAATTTAGGTATCTAGGTTCTACGATAACTAGAAAAAACGAAATTGAAGAAGAGATTAAGGTTAGACTGAAGGCGGGGAATGCTTGTTATTTTTCTGTGACAAAACTACTTAGTTCGCGCCTCTTGTCCCGAAACTTAAAAATTAGAATCTATAAAACAATTATCTTGCCTACAGTTCTTTATGGATGCGAAACTTGGCCGCTTACATTAAGGGATGAGCAGCGTCTTAAGGTTTTTGAAAATAAAGTATTGCGTAGAATATTCGGACCGAAGAAGGATGAGTTAACCGGAGAGTTCAGACGGTTACACAACGCCGAATTGCGTGAGATGTATCTGGGTAATATAATTGAGGTAATTTCATCGCGGCGAATCAAATGGGCTTGTAAAGTTGTTGGGCTTAGTAACGAGAGAATTCCTAAAAGGTTAATATTTGCTGTGCCGAATGGTAAGCGTCCGAGGGGAAGACCGAAGCGAAGGTGGGAAGATTGCATTAAAGCCGATCTGAAGGGAGTGGGTTTGGACGGCGAACGGTGGAGGGAGGTGTGTAACAAGCGATTGGTGGTGTCGGCATCGAACCTTCGGGTTCGCTAAGGCTTATTATTGTTATTGTATTGTTACAGAATTACATATATTTAATAAACCTATCCTAACGATATTATAACTCATCTTATTAGTTTTTCAATTTCTTTATTTGTTAACGTTTAGTCTCATTACCTGTTTACCTACGTTTATCAAATGTAACCTCCACTAGCTTGTTATCCACCGGTATCTTATTCTTATTTTACCTTTACTAGATCATTACTTATTCATTTTTCAATTTCTTTATTCATCAACCCCCATTTTCTTTATCTGTTAACCTATCAGTTATCAAATGTAACCTTCACCAGTTTGTTGTCCAATAACTTCTCATCTTTTATCACAATCTGTTTACTTTTAACTTACACACTATATTCACCTTGGTTTTCTATTTTTATTCACACTTATTTTCTATTTTTATTTGTATCTTCTAAATATATAATACTTGATATTTTAACTATACTGTCACCCACTATATCTCTAATGTCTTCTTATTATTTCTTTATCAGACAACTGTTTCTTATTTAATATCTAATTCATTAGTTTTATTTTCACTATGTATCTTTTGTAGCACTGATGAAATCTACAAAGTGGGTCGAAACGTTACGATTAAAATGCTATATTAAAAATTTAGTATTTATTTATTGAAAAAATTAAATTTCAGATTGCAGATTGTTTCTTAATATATAAATTTTCTATACAGGAAATTCCCGGGCTTACTGACAACACTGTGCCTAGGCGTCTGGGTCCCAAAAGAGCTTCTAAAATTAGGAAACTCTTCAATTTAAGCAAAGAAGATGATGTGAGGCGGTATGTAATCAAACGTCCACTTCCTCTCAAAGAAGGTCAGACTAAGCAGCGCTTTAAGGCTCCTAAAATTCAGAGACTCATCACTCCTGTTGTGCTTCAGGTATTATTGAATGTTTTAGTTTAAGTTTGTTTTTTCATTTATTAATAATTTTAAATGTTGCATATTTACTGACGGTGCCAATATATGAAATATTTATTCCTCATGATTCACATTATGTGAATTATTATTTAAAAGTTTAATTATCAATGCATGGTTTCCAGCTGAGTGTACCTATTTAATGTTAATGATGTACACTTGAGGAGAACTAGTTTCAGAACTGGCTTGATCCATTAAAAAAAAAGAAGAAATTATAAATCTGATAGTGCCTTTTTTAATCTAATACACTTAATGAATTAAAAACCAGTTTTATGATGGAGTCATTATTGCCCTACTGGGCTGCTTGACTGTGCATTGAGGGCGTGTGAAAGATTAAGTGAAAACATTTTGTGAAAAAAGTGGATTGAACTTGTTTTATCATAATGAAAATGGTGGTATAAAAATTTTGTACCTTTAATCCATATAGTTAACATAAGAATTTATGTTTATAACTTCTTAACTGATTATTTAATGCTTTATAATAGTTGTAGAATGCTTTTAGTTTAATAAGTTCAGAAAGAGTTCCCAAGGTGTCTACTGAACCTTGAAAAAATAAATCAATTTCATAAAAAACACTGAAAGACCCGAAATTTCAAAAGCTAGGGGGACAGGTTGTAGAACAGTATTTCATTTAATACTCTTATTGTTATTAGTATCAAAGGCTTCTCTATTATTATTATTATTTGTAAGTAAAAGTGGGGCTGTTTAATTTTTGTTAGGTGCCTCTATCAGACAAATCTATATTTTTTAAAAAATTACATACATAATGTCAAATTTTATACCATTTGTCATTAATAAATTTGGATTAGACCTTATACCTATTTTAATGACATGGAAAAGTCAGAGAATTTTATCTAGAAGAGTCTTGTTGACATCCGAGGTTCTTTATGCACTATAGCTCCATTTTCAGCTTTGAAGATTTTTATTGTATAAGGTTATTAAAGATCTTTGAAGGAGGTTAAGAATAAACTTTATATCAGTTTTAGAACCCCTAGAACATGATTTTGAAAACTGTTGGAAATGTTGATTTCTTAGAAGTGCATTCGAAGATCCTAACTCTTTTTCCTACCTCTGCCATTTTAATTAATTAAATTTCAAAACAAATGATTATTAAATGTTTGAAAACAAATCATGGGTTTAAAATTTTGCATTGTGATTAATTTTAAAATTCTATTCAGTTTTCTTAAGCAAGTAGTATTAATATTAATGAAGCAATTAGTTATGGGATGCATTGTTGATGATATAAATAAAAGTGTATAATATTATCTTTTATGAGTAGCATCAAATTGATGCCTTTTATCTAGTTATTACCATACCACTAGAGAAAAGGAAATGAAGTTTTAAAATATTTTCTTTCCTTCATAATAGTGGAATATCAACTACCAATTCTTACCACATCTAAGGAAGATTATGTTTCTCTTTGATGATATTAAATTGTGTGACATGGTTGTTGATTAGGTAAAGATTAATTAAAAACGATATGTTTTTATTCTTAATTTCTTGTCTGTAAAATTGAAACAATTTTTTTTAAGTACGTTGTGTCTTTTAGATTTTTCTATTCCTTATTATCTGCTTTATTTTTTAGTATAGTATGTTAAAAATAGATTTTTCTTTTTTTTTATCCGAAGTCATTTTACTATATTGTACTACAATCATCGATATTCATTTAAACTATTTCAGAGATAAATTATCAAATATCCTTAGGCTGAAAATTCTTGTTTACTTCGTTGAAAGCCTGTAATAAATTATATAAATAAATAATTATCTGCCTAGTACTTTAATAAATTAAATGTCTTAACTTTTTTTTATACAAGTTAATCAAGTTGTTTTAGTCAATTTAATTATTGTTTCTTTATGTTAAACATATTAAAAAAGTAACTATACATTGTTTAAGTGTTGATTGTGATAATTCGTTACAGCGCAAGAGACATCGCATTGCTATTAAGAAGAAGCGAGCTGAGAAGCGCAAGGAGGAAGCTCGTGAATACGCTAAACTTTTGGCCCAAAGACAGAAGGAAGCTAAGGCTAGGAGGCAAGAAGAACTGAAGAGGAGAAGATCTGCCTCGATGAGAGACTCCAAATCCTCTGCTTCTACTCAGAAGTGATTCTTCCTTTTTTTTTTAATTAATAAAAAAACCTATTGATAGTTGATTGCCTTTTCTTTATTTTCCCAATGAAATAAATAAATTTTATTTAAAACTTTTAAATAGTGGATTGATGGTTGACTGTAGTGAAAATTAAACAGAAGTTGGTTGAAATGTTCAGTCAAAGAAATAAATAAGGGAAAGTTTTTCCTTAGCCCTGATGAAGGCCTGAACTTATGGCTAAAACTGCAAAAATAAAATTATTTTTTGTTGAATTGAAGTTATTTATTGAGTATTCTTATCGTTCTTTATCAATAATTAGCTTTACCCGGCCTTGCGCTGCTGTGGCTCAGTCTGGCAAATGGAAAAGAAAGAAAATAGAAAGCACGTATTGAGTGGATTAATACCAAAGGACATCTGTCATTTTCAAAAAGATGAGAAACAAATTTGTCTGTAACATAGCTTCAATTTAAACTGATTCTAATGATTTTTTTTTTTTTCATGATTCGACTTCAACATTCTTAATCAACAGAAACAGTACGAGTTGAACTTATAAAACCAAAATTGACTTTTATCTCTGCTTTCTGAAAATGACTCATATATTTTCATGTTTTAATTTTTTTTATATTTAATGTATTGTTTAATGTTCAACTTTGTGTTGATTATTTTATGGCAAATAAAAATTGGATGTTCGTTTGTTCAAACTCTTGGATCTCTGTAAGTTCTTCACCCATTGCCTTGAAATTTTGGCTTAACGTTGCATTTAATTTCGCACGTGGTTTAATATATCTACTATTATAAAATATAATGTGAAACTACATATTTATTAAAAACGCACCATCAGTTTGATGTAAAAGCAACAAACGCGGTTCAAAATATTTTATGATACTGTTTCAATGTTAAAGATTTTCAAATATCAATCGTGGCAATGCATTGAAATTGTGCTATACCATTTATCATAGCGTTCATTTTGTGTGCATTAGAGCTGCCTTCCACTTTCCTCCAAAGATTTTGCATACCAAATATTTGAGATGTATCATACTACTTCCAGAATACATTGGGGGAAAAAATAAAAAAATGAATATAAAGGTTGTAAAACATAAACCTTGAAATATTTATACCTGAGCATTAGAAGGCTCTGTATAATTAATTAATGTTATTGAAATCCATCAGATCTCAATTATAAAGTATCACAGATACAAGTAGATTCACTAAACCTCTTAGGTTTAATTTATTTTCTGGGAGTGTAATATCTTCCATGTATTCTGTTCATAATTTTCCAAGGACATCCTTAACATGTGAACAAAATAGGATGATAATTTAGCACCTGGAGAAGAAAACAAAACAAGTAACTCATGACAACTTGACGAAAAATTACATACATCTGGAATTACTGAGTGTCAAACAGCCTTAAATCACTTAAAGATCAATAATTATGCTGAAAGAATAGTTAGTCATTGAAACTTTTTAGTTTTTACTTTTACTAATAATTTTATTTTTACTTTCACTTGCCTTGGTTTGGAAAGGTTCAACTGCTTTTATTATAATTTTGAAAACAGAGATAATTTACTGTAGTATGTTTTATTTTGTTACTTAGACTAACAATTTTATTTGTACAATACCTAGAAGCAGGGAACTTGGATATGTGCATTTGTCGACTCAATTGTATGCATGTAAGTGTATTTACCACTTATTAATATCATTTTGAATATTAAAAATTTGCTATTACAACTTATCATTCCAGAATGTCTTTTTTTTTTTTTGTGATGTTAAGACTTACACAATGATACCTATTTTCACGCAGGAAGTATTTTATCCTGGTTATAAACCTTTTTACAATCAGATTCCTAATGACAAGACAGAACTGAAGTTGTAATGATATTTTGGTGCATGGTCTGTTTACTTTTAATATTTAATCTTTGTGATCAACCAAGAAAAGCCTCAAATTTGAGGTTTAAAATTTAAAGAGTATGTAGAATATAAATATAACATCTTGAATTAAGAAATAAAATAGAAAATCTATCATTCATCCTATACAGTTTTTTTGTGTTAAAATAGTTTTTATTTAACTATTTTACATCTTAAATCGAACTAGAAAAAGAATGTAATCTACACTAAAATTTAAGTTTCATTGAAGCCAAATTAAATAACGATACTCCATTCTCTGTATTTTTAACAAATAAAGGCATTGCATTAATTTAATCATTTTTAAGTTAAATGAAATCAAATTTATTCATTGCAGAATTAATACTCAATTTTAAAATCATTGGCCAAAATACATGTGGACATAGAACAAATCTTTACTAATAATTTAAATGATATAATTCCATGTTAAATTCATTAAAATAACTATGAATCAAATACAGTTACGTAGTATTACATTCAAAAGTTGTCTGTAGTTATAAATATGTTACACTGCTAGTTACTTTATTTTATTTATTATTGATAGTACTAAAATTCATTTGAGACGAAAGAATCTTTGAATTAATGATTCACTTATTAGTTTATTACTAATTCCCAAAATTAATCCCATTGATATAATCTAGTCTTCTAAATTCTCCAGTTTTCTCATATTTTGGTTCTACTATTTTATGGCATATTTTATTTTTAAAAAACCTAAAGTTATTGGTCTCTCAATGTGAGCGGCCAGGTTTTGCATCCATGAAGAACAGTAGGAATGATTATAGATTTTTTTTAAAATTCTAATGTTTGGGATCAGAAGGTATGAACTAAGGAATTTTGCTACTGACAATTTTTTTTTTCAAAAGATATTTCAATCTTATTAATAAATAATCTGAAATTATTTTTTTGTTGAGACTTATCACCAACGTCCGGATTTTTATACATTAAAAAGAATCATGAAAAATGCAGTTACAGATTTCTAAATATGCTAAACTTATGCTGAAATTGAAACTCAGTAAGATGTTTACATGGAAAAACAAGAGGAATTGGTAAATTCTATCAAGAGAATTATTGAAGCATATAGAGAAAGATGTGTATTAGTTATACAAATGTGATAAATTTGGTTAATTACAGAAGTATATTGAAATTAAAGGTATGTAGCGGCAACATAGTTTACAAAAGCTGTTGCTGTGGTGGAACTACCTTGGTTTTTTAAGGGCCCCTTACACAGTCAATATTGAGTTTCATCAATATATAACCCCTCCTCTCCCGATTAAAAGATAAAATGACAATATGTTTAGGTAGGTGGAAGATACTTTTTCTTAGGTGGAGGAAGGGGAGTTAAATCCCTCTCCCTCCCCCAAAAAATCTTTTTAAAAAGATAAAATGGGAATATGTTTAGGTATGTGGGGTTATACTTTTTTAGGGGAGAAGGTTGAAACTCTCCTTCCTTTAAATTGTTTTAAAAACAAAATGGCATTTTATGCCATTTAGCTGTTTCAAAATTACTTTTTTTTTATCGAAAACTTGATTTTTATACAAAATTTATTAACAATTTTCTTTTTTTTACAACACTATTTTTTAAATATTTAATAATTATGAAACAAGAATAGAAGCTCTTACTCTTCCAGGCCGCGATAAACTTTTTATGACACCATCTGAACTTGAACGACCTCTAAGAGAAACCATATCCCAAGAATGGCAAAGATGGTGGAATAACAGCGCACCTAGTTAAAGACAATAAATAAAGAGGTGCAAAGGCCAGATTCGACACAGATGCTCAGGATTGGGCTTGTTCTAAAGGCTCCAGTTGCAAGGCGTATTCCAGTGTGGTGCATGGAGTCGAGCTTGGCTATAACATTTTTCTGGGCAGAACCGTAGACAAAACTACCATAATCTATTTTTGCACCGATCAGAGCTTGGTATACTTTAATCATGGTAGTTCTGTCTGCTCCCCAGTTAGTTCTGCTAAGTACTCTCAATAGCTGAAGTTTTCTAGTACATGTATCTTTGAATGATTTTATGTGGTGCAATAATCTCAAGAATTTGCGAGTGTTGACATACGGTAAGATGGTGTCACCTAAAAGAAGTTCTGGTAATTGTGGAGTATTTTGTTTTCTGCTATAGTGAATACATTTGATTTTTTCAGAAGAGAAACAAAGTCCCGATGATTTCGATCAGTCTTCAATACGATTCAGTGCTTCTTGGAGCTTATCTTTTACAGATAGGACATCTTTCGTTCTGTAGCAAGATCGTCGACAAAGAGCATAACTTTTACTCTGCGTGGAAGATTTTTTCCGAAGTCACTAACCGCCAGTGCAAAAAGCGTTGTACTTAAACGCATCCTTGTGGTACTCCACTCGCTTGTCTACATGTATATGTATGCATTAATATGTATTCTGTATTATGTTTATATTATTAATTTATATTCCAAATGTAAGTTTTGTTATTTAGTGTTAATAATTAAATTTTATTAGTTCCTGTAGTATTTTAGCAGTAATCTGTAAAAATGGGTCCAGTAATTGTGTAAATATTAGTAGTTAGATTAGTTTATTCTTTCATGCATGAAAAGGTATTCATTGTTTCTTATATTTTATTTATTTACATTTTTCTCTTTTAGGATAAAATAAAAAATGGTTGTTTAGCTGTGATGCAATTATTACATACTCTTTTTCATTCCTTGATTTCTTTTCTTTTGTTTTATTTAATTAAACATGCAGGATGCAACAGATGCAGATAGGCCATAGATCTAATTTAAAGGAGCAGTAAAAATTACAAATGGAGTAGATTAGCATATAATTGTTTGTGATTTCCAAGTATAATAAATATTGCTAACAATTTTTATTTATTTAAGGCTGAATGAAGGCGTATAATGAATGTTTTTAAAACATTTCAGATTTTTTTTTTTCTCTGAGATACAGCCTTATGAAACTTCTAATCAGCTGTCATTTGGAAATAAAGTGTCAGATGGTAATGTTGAGAACCAAAGATCGTCCTTGTGTGACCTGCGACCTTAATGCCAAATCCAAAAAAGAAATTCACTCAGCAGCCTTGAAGAAAAGGAATGAATGGATGGAAGAAAACATTTTAAATTTAATTTTGGACGTTACCTTTATTAAAATGTAGGGACTCAAATTTTTAGAGTGGTAGCTAATTAGTTTTTCTCGGCTGAATACATAGACTCATTAATGAAAATGATAAACAAAATCAATAAATCATTAGTGAAAATAATAACAAATAAAACTGAAATATAAAAAAACAAAAAAAGCAGCCATGACTAAAATATCTTTTACATTGCCTCATTGAAAGGACACAGCTGTACATAAATTTTCTCTTTCTGTTGTACTAAAATTTCTTCCAAGAGATTTCTTTAATTATTGTAACTGCTGATATTACTTATCTCATTGTTGAAATTGAAGGAACACATTACAGTTGAGAACTGAAGAGGAATTTCCAATCTTTAGTGAACTTTACTTTGAATTATCTTTTTCAGCGGTACAAAATCCCTGATATATTCCCAAATTTCCCAGCTAGTTCCTGTCGATAAAATTATTTAACTATAGTTTGCAATTTTATGAAACACCTTCTGTCCATGCTGATAGGTTCCAGCAGAAGTTATTCAATGATATACATGTGAATAATGCTTAGATTTACTATAATCCTTCAATTATAAACAGTGAAATAATTTAGGAAGTACATAAAATAAAATAAAAGACAAAATACAAGTCATTAAAGTTTTTGTATTTTCTATTTGGAAATTTCATAAGCAACTTAATTAGGTTTGTTTACACATATTTAGATATAAAAAAAAATCCAACTTAATAACTAGACTTACATTAACATCAAATTATAAATTAAAAAAGATACAACAATTTTAATTGCACGATTCAACACACTTTTGATCACAAATGTTGAAGGTCGTTATCACTAACATTAAATTTTGTTTATATTTTTTCTCACTTATTTTGCGTTTCTAAATTAAAACTAACAAATGTTCATAAAAGCAATAGGTATTTGATAAAAAAGTTTTCTAGTACAACTAAAAAATAAATTAATACAACTAAATATTTTAATTAAAGCATCACAATAAAAAATTGTAATTATTCGATAAAAAAACCCAATAAAAATGCAAAAATCAACAATAACAACAAATGATATGCAACAATTCGACCGTTACAAAACTTCATAACATTCAATTTTCTCAATCGTACGCAACATAAGTTCATTGAACTTTAACCGAAAATATTTACAACCTCTGTCAAATGCATCAGAGTAAAAAAAAATGTACACGTTAATCTAGTAAATGGAGCGTTTCTCACAACTCAATGATATAATCATATCATTCGCGTAATATCCATAGGAATTAAATTGTACCAATAAAATATACACTGTATATGTATATATGATCTAAAACTTGTCAATGCTAAGCCTACAAAGAGAATATCCCTTTGATAAAATCCCTTCTTGGATTAAAGAGAACGCTTAATAGATATCTCCTTTCTACAAAGGGGAAATTTATAATCCCTAAGGAACTGAGCACCAACACTTCTTTATTTAAACCAGAAATAAATAAAATACTTCAGGTTCAGCTAAATCTCAAAAGAAACCCAGCTTCTGTTAAAATGGGAAAAATTGAGGTTAATACTACCTAAAATTGAAAATTTTGTGCCTAAATGAGCAATAAAAAGGGATCACGAGGGTTTTGGCGGTAAGATTGTAGCTCATTCTGCCAAAGCTCCCAACGTTAAGTACAGTCTCTAAAATTTTACAATGAAAAAAATACCTAAATGATAAAATATTGTCAATAATAGCTACAACTGGGACTTAAAGGCTATTTTATGATTCTTCTCAAAGTTTCACTAATCTAATAATACTTCTGAGGATTTCATAAGTGGAAAGATGCTAACTATGATATTTTCCTCCATTTTCTATTAAAAATGAAAGCTTCTCAAGTGATTCCCGCACCTGAAAAAATAAAATATTAATAAATTAACAAACTGATTCTTTCATATTAAATATGGAGATTATTAATAACTATTGTTCAACTTTTTTTTTTGATATTGTTTACTTTATTAAATTAAACAAAAATAATCTTGAGCCAATTATGGTATGGGTTTGATTTTAAATATAGACATTTATTTTATTCAAACACATTTTCAAAATCTCAGTAAGTTCTTATTAATGTGTTTACAGGTTTTAAGTTATATCAATATGATATTTATATAATTTAATTTGCCGTAGTTAGTCTAAGTTAGTTTGGACAAGGATTAGTGATTTATCAACTAAATCTTTGTTGAATAGATGCTTGATTAATAATTTGGGATGGTTTTTTAAATAAGAGATAGAAAAATATAGTTTTTATGTAGAAAATACTTGAATAAATCACATGATATATTTTTCCAACCAATAATTATATTTCATATTTATGTTAAAAAACAAGCTATTTTAGACATATCTTAAGAGTAGGATATTAAGTTTGCTGGGGGTGGTCAGGGAGAAAGGAATATTTAAAATCTTTTGAATTTTAATATCAATATCCCTTTACTAGATCATACAGTGGCATCGATAACTTGAAAATAAAAATGTTTATTTATTTTTTTTTAAGTGGATTGCACCAGTACTAAAACATATTTGAAATTATTACGTAATGTGAGGAGATACTTGTCATTCATAAATTTTTTTTTTTTAAAACTCACTTTGGAAATGTGCTCCAAATTTGTATTGATGTAAGCGTGAACTTCATTCATTGATCTGGAAAAAAATCAAGCATAGATATTAAATTAAATATTCACTCATTTCCATGTAATATCACAAATGATAATAAATAATAATACAAGATATTTATCATCAAAGAAATTAATAACATTTTTGAGCCTTGACCAGGTTTGAAACTGAACATTGAAATATGCCAATTTAATAAAATATTTTCTTGTTTTACTTATGAGATCATTTCTTCAAATAATGTAAGTAACGATAATGGTAATAAATGGATGAATAATTAAAATAATAATTACTAAAATGATTGTTAATTTATTTAATACTTTGGAATGTTAATTTAAAAGAAATTCATAATAAGTTAGATCAACATAAGCAAAATTTAATGATACTTGTAATGATAAATGAACAAATAATGTTCCTCTTACATTCGATTCATAAAAGCAAATAAATGTGAATTATCGTTAATACATTACAACACCTATTATATATCCAAGTTCAACTTATAATTACATGAGATAACTCTACTGTTTGGAAAGTCATAAATTATCTAGCAATCATGTCAATGTGTTTATTTAATTTTATAAATTTTGTTGAAATTAAAGTATAATGATGGACAATCATTACCTAGATGAGAAATCATAAGGTTGCTGAAGCCTGGCGATTCGATAGAGTAGGACGGTGGCAGAGGCAAACAGAAGAATCAGCAAGCCAGTCGATATTACGAGAAGTAATGTTGGCCTTGGAAGACTTCTAAGGAATGTAAGAAATGGCGCCCGAGTACCAGGTGTCGTTTGCGAAAACATATCATGATACGATTTCACCTCTATGCCTGCTATAAAAAGGAAATCAAAACAAATTAAACAGTATAATCAACATCAATTTTTTAAAACTAAGATGAAACCAATTATAATAATAAATACCTGGCAAACCAAACTTGGAAGTACGTTTTTTTCTATATTGTAATTTTGAAGAATACATGTCAGTGAATTATTAGATAGACTCTTGGCTGACATTTGAATAATAGGCAATTATCAGAGTTCGTTCAACATTGATAAGTCATTCACCAGATAAGAATTGTCAGATAAGGTGTTATACTACTCTCAACATTATGCAATAAAAAAAAATATGAAAACTTGAGGAATAATGTACTTCTAGTGAAAGCTATTTAATTATACTTAATCAATTCATGCAATTTAATTTATTATTGACTATATTCACTGTAAAACCAAGGTTTTCAAAACATTTTAGTATTGCTCATTTTTACATGTAACAACTCAGCTATAAAAAATAAGTTAATAAATAACAGCTGAATAACAAACAACTAAGACAAGAAGTGAAGAAAAGGAGGATGAGATCAGCTCAGTGCACAGGCTAAATTAATTAGCAAAACTTGTAGTGGTTAGAAAAAAGAAAATATATTTTTTTTATCATCTGTTAAATCACATTTAATGTGAAAACATATATAATTAATTCACTTGGAGCAAACCAAATGTTTTCTATAACTTATTTTTAGTCATTTCACAATAAGTAATATTTTATTTAAAATTTTACTAATGTGTTGCAGCCGATGTGGTCAAAAATAATCTAATAGCTTCAAGTCGTAAACACTCACTAAAATAAGTTAAAGTCAAAGAATAAACAGAAGCACCTCTATGACATCCATTTTTACATATCTAACTTAATGCAAAAATGTGCTTGATTTATGCATATTTATATATTGGTCATTTGTTGAAGATATTTTAAAAGTATCTAACTTTTTATCTTCTCTTCCTAGGAAAGGAAGTAATCTTTTTTCTTTTTGAACCTTTGACGACTTCAGAGGTTCATCTTTCATCAGTTGAAGCAGTTCTTTTTAACTATAATGCCAGGATTTACAGACAATTGTAGATTTCACATTTACATATAAATACAACAGTTAGAAAATAAATTATAATTAATTAATGAAAAAGGATTTTTTTTTTTTGTTTTTTAGAGTGCTATGGAATAACTTTGGTTTTAAATTTTTTGGAGGTACAAATGAATGGTATGAGGTGATATACCTGAGCTTGTTTTTGAAATTGATTAAATTTTCAGGAAGTAATATAAAATGAAAAAGTAGTTTTGCAAATCTTTTTTTTTTTTTTTACATAAAGGAATTTATATAGTATTTTTTTGATTAAGGCGAAGAGACGTCTTGAAAAAAAAAAAATAAGTGGTGCAGATTTTTTTTCCAGTCTCACAAATAATGGAATTTCCCTACGATAAAATGCAGATGAATAAAATCCTAATAACGTTTTATCAATAATGTAACGATGTATACAAATTGAGCAAGGTGGATATCCAAAATACGGTTAAATCATTAGGAAAAATACAAACTACAATATTTATTAATTTATTCCACTTTAATTCAGTAAACAACTTGGAAAATACATTGTAGCAAAATACAAAGGTAATAGAATACAACAACAATACAGGAAGTAATAACCCATATTTTAAAAGTTATTGATATCATTAAACCCCTTTAATACAAAACAATCTAATAAATTAAGTTAGTAAACTTTTTTATTTTTATTTATATAACTATAAAAATGTTCAAACGGCGATGAGTTGTTTCTGAGGCTGTTTCCAACAATGAATTATTTTCTTGAAATTAATATAAAATTTAGTAAGCGAGAAATATTTATTTTCGATTGTCCTATTAATGTGATAAAATGTTAGAAAAACAAAACATTTTTATTTTAGTTGTAGAAAAATAAAAAAAATGATAAGACCCAGCAATATAATGGAATTGATAAGGAATATAATCAGACAATTTCATCTATTTTTTTTTTTTAATTCGTATAACTAAAAAATTATTTTATGAATAAAATAAAATCATAGTGGATATTTGATGGCAACTAAACATGCAACTAACTGTAATGTACAAGTAGCAGCCCATACACAGTTACATTAAAGTTCTTTATATAAATATAATACTATTCTAGAAACAAATTGTTTTATAATAAAAAATAATAAATCATGCAGAATACTTAAAAGGAAGTTGGGACAGCCAGAACACATGGCACTAATGGGAATATGCTTGAAGAACTTTTAAAACTATTTAACACTTTAATTGTGTAATTTCAGAGAAAAGTGAAAAATTTTTTTTGGTAAAATTAATATTTTAACATCACAAATTGACACTAATTTCCTATAACTAATGACCATTCACTGACTTCTTTAAAAAAATTATAATTGGAATACAATATAAAACGAAAAATTCTGCAAATTATTACACAATGGTTTCCAAACAATTATGTATCAAAAGTAAGATTACTATCCTTGTAACATAAAGGAAAATAAATAAAAGGTGATCCTAAATATATATTTTTTTCATAATCAGTAATTTGCTAAGAAAAGCAGACAATATTGCAACAGTTGATGTAACACTTTTAAAAAATAAAAAACAAAGTATATAAACTTTGCAGTTGAACATATGAAAAATATTTAAAACACTATCCTTCCACCAAATTGTCCAATTTCATTGATTTTTTCTTGTTTTCTAAGAAATTTCATGAACTTTGTTTATATCAAACCATAATTTATTTCCCAGCCCATTTTTCTTTATGCTTTCCCAAGCCCTGTTGAAGGGCTGAACTTTGGGCCGAAACGTTGGTGAATGTAAAAAATAAACACAATTATTTACTTTTACTTTTTTTTTTTACTGATCATTCCAACCTATCTTCTCTTCAATTGTTCACTTAAGTCAACCATAAGATAAGCCCACCATCATAATTTATACTTTTTGAGTTATTCGAAAATCTAATTTTACCGCCCCTTGTCACTTTTCCAGCTTCTTTTCATTGAAGTCTGTGATATAGATAAATTTAAATGTCTTCAAAGAAGACTTTAGCCAGGTTTCATCGAAATTGGTACATCCGTTAAGGCACTACAGTCTATACGACATAGGTCTTTCACCCACCATCTTGAAAGGGAAGAATGGATAGTAATGTTAAGGTAGTAGGATCGTCGTGGGGTGACCTCTGACTTTGAATCCAAATTTGAAAAAAATCGGTCAAGTAGTTTCGGAGAAAAGCTTAACGGCTTATGGCAAACAGACAAAATGTATTTAATTCAATTTTTGATTTCTAAGCCTCCCGTAAGAAACGTATACTGTATTTTACTAATGCTTACTGAAAATAAATTATTTGGAACATTTATTTTTAAGTAACAATAATGATTTGCTAAATTTAAAGAATTGTAATTTTTATAACATAAAATTAGTGATTGTTCAAAAATCTAGAAAAAATCAATAAGATTTGGTTCTATATAACCTATAGTCTGGGGTCATATTGAAAAGCCTTTCAGTTATAAGAGCCTGTCATGGGTTATAAAAGCCTTTAAGTTGACAAAATGCTCCATCAAAAACTCCAATTTCAATATTTTTGATTATTAATTTTAGTGATATTTCTATCAGGCAAATTTATACCTTTATTTCTAAAGATCTATAATTCAACACTGCTATGACCTAATCTGGAATCAATTTACTCACTGTCTGTAGAGATATTATAAATTTTCCTACTAGTAATATCACGAAAATGACTTTCTTCAAAAGTGTTGAAATTGGAGTTAGTCTTAATGTCAACTGAAAGGCTAGAATAGAAGAAGAGAAGAGGTTTTATATACAAAAGTTTTTAAACAGGTTAGCTGTGATAAAGAACTCTGTGAAGTGATTGGACCAATGGACAGCTATTTAAGGTTACATTGTTTGGAATATAAACTGATTAATTTTGTCAATAAGTGTGTCTTAGGAGAACAGTGACTTTATTTTACATACATTGTGAAATGATTTTCAGCCATCAATGGAAATAAAGAAAGAAAAGTACTGTAATATATTTTTATAAGCCCTGAACACAATAGAAGTTTAAGGTTAAATAAAATAAGTTAAGGGCTTTTCTAGTTCCTCTATTAAAAATTTAAATAAATGAATGACAGTTCTGAGAATGTAATAATTCATAATTGACCAAAACTAATAAGAAAATTAAGATAACAAATCACCTAAAATAAATAAATAATGAGATAATAAATTAAATAACCGTAAAAGAAAAATTAATTTTTAGGCTATAATTTATATTAAAATAAAATTAATAATAATACTAAATGCTTTGATAGTAAAAATTCATATTCCATCATTTCCATTAGATTCATGCAAACAATTGCAACTTTAGTAACACATAAGAGTGTCTTCATATAAAAAACGGACATCTGTCATTTTAAGAAAGTGAAGAAAAAGTCAATTTTTGTTTTATAGGTTTAACTTAACCTGTTCCTTATGGTTTTATTTAAAAATAATAAGCTGTATCATAATAATAAATCATATAATTGATTTAAATTGAAGCTATATTTCAAAAATAGTTTTTTCTCAACTTTTTAAAAATGATAATGTCCATGCTGGATATGAAGCCACTCACATAATTCCATTAATTGCTTAATTTAGATTTAAATTAAATTCAAAATAAAGCTTGTTTTGTAAGCTAACTATACTAAACATGCAGAAATGATTAGCCTGTTATAAGCAATTATTTGTAAAAAAAAATACTATTGAAGTAAATTCGCATGATTAAAAAAATTAAAAATTTAAACTAGTGAATATTAAAAAAGAAATTTGCTAATCTTCATCTAGCAACTATTCCGGTAAAAGGGACATTCCTGTAACACAGTAATGGGTAAATATACAAATAACAATCTAAAGTTTATGAAATTTTAAAAAATATCCTTTTGGAAAATCTTATGAGAACTAATAAATGAAATGAATCAAGAGTCAAACGAAATGAATATGATAAACTATTCAAAATATGATTGTTTAAAAAATGA